GATGAGTGCAGGGGCCATCCGTGAGACAGATTCAGTGCTGTGGCTGGTGGGTCTGAGTGTGCAGAAACCCAGAGTGCAGTGCTCCACCAGCACCCACACGCCGGGGGCTCCCAGTCTCCAACGGGAGACTGCATGCTCTGGTTCCCTCCTACACTGCCTCCTTGCCATCACGAGTCCCTGGGCCTTTCTGTGGCACAGCATTGCCACCCTCACTGCAGCTATCCTCCTGCTGATGGATGTCCCCTGGCTTCTCAGTCCTTTGAGTTCACTTGTCCACATGGGGCCTTGCCTGCCCTCCCCAGCTGCTCTGCCCTCCAGCTTCCTTTGCTGGCCAGTCCTCCAGCTCTTCCTCGTAAAAGCCCTGCTACCCACAGGAAGATTTTGTCTTTGATGGCACAATTGCACGTGGTAATTTTTTAAAATAACAGCTTTATTGAGATATATTTAATAATTCACATACCATAAAATTCACCGTCTTAAACTGTACAATTTGATGGCTTTGAATATATTCACAGAGTTGTGCAACCATCACCATGATCTAATTCCAGAACATCCTCACCACCCCAGTCACCCCCTGGCTTGCGGAATTCCCAACTCTCAGCACTTCCCTCACGTCCAACTCAGGCACACACACAGGCTTGCCTGCACGCAGAGCTCGCTCTGTTATTCTGTTGAGCCCCTTGTTGCTGGAATCTCTGAAAAAGAAAATAATCCCAGGCAGTAGAGTCACCAAGAAGTTATAATCCCCCCCGCACCCCTACTTGTAAGGAAACTTCCACCTTCTTTCACCAAACCAAACCCTGACCCACCAGGTAAACAGAGCTGCGTTCCAGTAGCTGGTACTGCGCCTGCGGGCACCACGTGGGAAGGGCTGTGATCAGATCACACTGTGGTTTTTACAGAGGTCGCCCTGTGTGGCACATTTGGGGTGGGGGAGGAGGTGAGGCTGTTGCAGGGAGACCCTGTCCGTCCCCCTTCACTGCCGTGTTCCCAGAACCAGGCCCTGAGCCTGGCTAAGCAGGCCCTGGTCTACATGGGCGGGATAAGTGGCATGCAGATGGGGAGCATGGATCTCGGCGCAGGTGTGAAGCCTGGCCTAGGCACTGGCCAGTTTAGGGGTCATGCCCGTGCATGAGCCTGGCAGCCACTAAGTGCACAGGAGAGACTTGAACTCCTGTGGGGGCCCAGCCTGAGTGGGAGGGGAGTCAGGAGAGCAGGGGCACAGAATCCACGAGGGGAAAGTGTTGGGGTAGGAGAGCGCAGGTTGTGTCCACTCTGCAGACACAGGATGGACCCCACCCAAGATGTGGCTTGGCTGTTGAGAGTGATGGTGCCACCCCCTCAAAGGGATATGAAAAGTTCCATTACTCACATAATGAGGCTTTCTGGGGAAGCAGGGCCATTCCCCCAGGTTGGTCTACAGATGTCTTGAGAGGGCATGGAAAGGGGACTGGAGGCTTCTCCCAGTTAGGGGCGGGCTGGGGCACGAGTTCCCCCTGTGGTTTGAACTCCCCTCCTGTCTAAGGGAGCCAGCACCCAGGCTGTCGTATTGGCTCACCCGGCTGTGGGGCAGAAGGGGATGGGGAGGGGAAGGCTTCATGGCTGTCGGCAGTCAGAGTGGGCAGGCACTCTCATACAGCAGCAGGCAGGGACGCAGGGGGCCACAAGTGGCTTCAGAGATGACAGCGGGTGAGCAGAGGGCAGTGAGGAGGGGAAGAGAGAGGGAGGCTACTGGGGTTGCCCCGGGTGAGAGGGAAAAGGCTCCAGCAGATTCCCATGCTGGCCCAGAAGGTGTTGGCAGAGACAGGGAGAGGGAGGGCTGGGGAAGAAGGGGTGACCATGGAGCAAGGTTCTCCGGTATCGAGAAGGTTCCAAGGACAAGTGGTGGGACTGGACTGAGATCAGGTTGCTCTTCAAGTGATGGCTCCTGGGGAAAGGCTGCCAGGAAGGAGGCTAGGGTGGGCTGGCGCTTCCTGAAGACCACCCAGACTTTTGTGCAGCCCTGCCTACACGGCCTTTCCTCTTTCTCTGCCTTGTCCTTTGAGCTTCAGCTTGAGAGCCCCATCTTTGCAATGAGTCACTCACTCCTTCGATAATAGTGCCATTGTGAGGGGAGGCTGTGATGTAATTGGTGCAGGGCCCGTGGGAAGGATTAGATGAGGATGTGCTGGCAAACATTACACGATCGCTCTCCAGATTGCCATTGTCCCTGCCTTCATCGTGCACCTTCCCTGTGTGGGCCTGGAGATGAGACCCAGGCCTCAGCCATTGAGGAGTGTGCGGTCTGAGCCAGGGGCGAGGGGGCCAGGAGGATGAGCGGGATGCCACGTTTGGGACAATGGTGACAGGCTTGTCAGTGGGTGAGGTGCCACCTAAAGGTTTTCTGGCTCTAATTGGTGGCTAGTGAATTATTCATTTATCAACCACTGCGCCGAGGCTGCCTGCCAGGAGAGTGGCCTGTGACCCAGGGCTTTAAAAATTAATGTGTTCATTGAATCATTCCCTTGACTCCCATTCACACCACAAAAGGCCCGGGGGAGAAGGAGGAGTTCAAGCTGTGCTGTTTAACCGGCAAACACAGTGGGTGCAAGGGACGGCAGGCCACCAGGCCACGGGCCAGAGGGAAGCACTGTGTGATTTAGAGGGTTTGTGTAGGGGTGCATGCACATGTGCCTGTGTGTGTGGGGGGTGAATGCACGATGAAAGTGAGTGTGCGTGCATGCGGGGCATGTGTAATGTGCACAGATGTGTGTGGGAGGCCAGCAGGAAGCTGAGGGGCAGCAGCCTGATTCCCCAGGGCCCATAGACCCTTTAGGGAACATGAACTTGAACCTGCTGGATTGAGCTGCAGCTGGCCTGGCCTAGGGCATTGCCTGGTGGAGTATGGGGCCTGGCCTTAGCCAACAGGGTTGAGGGGAGATGGGCACTCTGGATGCTGTCCAGGTTTTAGCCTTGGGCCTGGGAGAGGGTGGAGCTACTCACAGCCTCGGGACAGGCAGTGGTAACAGAGTGCTCAAGGCATGGCAGGTGTCAGCAGCACAGGGGACTAAGGGCCCTGAGCTCCTCCACACACACACACACGTGTACGCACACATGCATACCTATGCACATATAGACAAGGGCGAGCTTGGTATATGTATGTGCGACAAGAATCCCTTCACTGGGCAGCGTATGTGCAAAGACGTTGAGCTGGGAAATCATAACCTTTAGGGGAACTGCCCAAGGCCCCTGCCATGAGTGGCAGAGTGCTCAGTTGATAGGATGACTCCGCAAGGACTGACATGTCAGGCTGAGGCCTCCGGCTTTCTCCTAAGGGTGAAGAGGCCCTGGAGGGTGTTAGGCAGGGCAGGGCTCATTCATCCTCGACTTTTAGGAAGGTAACTCTGGCAGCTGGTGTCATGGGCTGAGTGGCAGCTCCCTGAAAGATGTTTCCATGTCTTACCCCCCGGAGTCTGTGAGTGGGACCTTATTTGGCAAAACGGTCTTTGCAGATGTAATGCGGGGAAGGATGTCAAGGTGAGCTCACCCTGGATTACCCAGTGGGCCCTGACCCGATGACAGGAGTCCTGAGAGAAGAGGAGACAGAGGGAGACACACAGGGGAGGAGGCATGTGGAGACAGAGCTGGGACTGGAGTGATGCAGCCACAGGCCCAGGAACAACTCAGGCTGCAGAAGCAGGAAGAGCAAGGAAGAATCAATCCTCCACTAGAGCCTCCTGAGGGAGCAAAGTCCTGGTGACACCTGGATTTCAGATGTCTGCCCTCCAGAATTGTGAGAGGACGTATTTCTGTTGTGTTCAGCCATCCAATTCGTGGCCATTTGTTACAGCAGCCCTAGGAAACTAGCCCAGCTGGGGTGAGGAGAGGACCTGGGGAGATTGGAGGAGGCAGTGGGTGCTGAGGAGGGAGACTGAGACTGGACAGGGGATAGGAGGTGGAGACTTCTGCATCATCACCAGACCAAGTCACCTGGCAGAAGGCCTTAGGGTGCAGTGGCCTTTTCCTCTCTCAATGCTCCCAGCTGTTTCAAATCATAGCAATTATCTGAATGTATCTGAATGACCAGAGTGGCTGTCATTAGCTTGAGAGTCCCTTTGGTGCTCTATGTCCCTAACGCCTGATGCACAATTTCATTTGTGGAAGACACAAATGAAATATGGGATGGTAAATATGTGAGTTCAATATTCAACATTCATTCAAAAACATTTATTAAGCTTCTGCTGTGTGCCAGGCTGGAAAGGTGAGCGGAAACCACATCCCTAACCAATCCAGGGAGGCTGGAAAATCCAGACGCAAACACCCTTAATGCCCCCATTAGAAAAGACCTCTTCACATTTTATGCACAGCACTGCATTTCCTTCGGGTCTCGACTGCATTCGGGATTTACGACACTGACACCTTCCCCTGTTAGTGGCAGCTTGCCTACTGAGACGCTGACATCTCAGCAAGAACTCCCGTAAGCGCCCCTCGCCCAGGGCTCGGCAAACGCTGCCAGCTCTCCCGGTCCTAAGCCACGCTGGGCCACCACAGCCCAGGGCGACACCTTAGTCGGGCTGCGGGGACTTGCGGCTCAGGTGACTGGAGATACCCTCGGGCTCCGGTTCCTTCTGGGGACGGAGCTCGCAGCTCTCCGGGGCGGGGCGTCGGCCCCCTGGGGCGGGCTTATGGAATTCGGGGTTGCCATGCGTTTCTCCCGGAGGCGGGGCATGAGTCTCCAGGGAGCGGGACGTGCGCCTCGCGGGGCGGGGCGTATGGTGTACGCAGGCCGACTGGCACACCCTGGCCACAGGGCGGTGTCGGCCTCTGCGCCTGCGTCTGCACTTGCGCGCTCGGCCGGGCAGCCTTCTGTCACGCAGCCGCGTGCCCACACCAGGGGCGGGGCCTGCGGGGCGGGGCGCGGCGGCCGCGCCCGCCGCGAAGACCCCTCCCCCCGGAGGCGGCCTCGCCTCGCCGGGGGCACTTCTCCTTCCGGTGGGGGTCGTGGGGGTCGCGGGGCGGGGCCTCATGGAGGCCGTTAGGCCGGAGAGCGGCGGAGGAGGGGCTGCGGTGCTGGGGGCCGAGGGGCGGCTGGCGCCCGACGCGAGGGTGCATTTCCGCGTGACGAGGTTCATCATGGAGGCAGGTAACCGCGGTCGGGGAGAGGGCGGGCCCCGTGCGGACAGGACGTGGAGGCCGGGGGCCGCGGAGCTGCAAGATCACAGCGCCGAGCCAGCGGGCCGGGGTCAGCGGTGCTGGGGGCCGCTTTGCGGGGCAGGCGCGGCTGGGCAGAAGGAAGAGGCCAGGCCTTCCGGGCGTGACCCGCCTTGGCGGAGGCTGGGAGGCCAGGCTCCGGGCTGTGGGCCTCCTGCCTTTCCGCCACGCCCGGTTCACTAGGCAGGGGGTCGCAGGTAGACGATGGTGTCCCAGTTGCACAGATAGGTGTGCAGGCCCAAAGGAGACAGTCAGGGACAGGCCTCCAGCTAGGTGGGGGCCAAGCCAGGGCGCTCGCAGCTCTGTGGAGTCTGCCACACCTGTCTCTCTGTGTACTGGGAGACTGTATGGCGCTTGGTCTCACGAAGCCTTTCGGAGTACGCTGTAGGGGAGTTCCTGTTACACGGAGGACCCAGGGTGCAGCTGGAGTCCTGAACTTTTCCGGGGCATCCATTGTGTTGTTGGGTGCTCTGTGTCCAAGGCGACGTAAGGAAGCCACGATTCCCGTAGAGACACTCTTTTTTTCCATCAGTAGTATCTCATTTAGCTGGCAAACAGTCATTTCTTACCTTTGCTGCTTTGTATGCACTCTTGCAGGGGATGTTGGGCAAGTGTGCTTTCAAGTCAGGGTCGACAGAAGGTCTGAGGAAATGGTGCAGGACCCTTAATCCCAGTGATTTATAAATTTACTTTGATTTACAAGAAGAGTTGTGAAGTGTATTAAGGAAGGATGGCAGTGTCCCCTCAGCCGCCACCATCCGTCTGCTCAGAGTCATGTCAACAGCACCACCTTACCTGGCGCCTCCTAGAATGAGGGGTCCCATGTAGGAATTGCCTACATTAGTGAAGTTTAGATCTTGAAATGCGAAAAGCTCTTTGAGCATCACTTCTGTAGGACTTCTCTGTAAATACATTGCACATACCTTTGCCCTTTGTAGGAGACTAAATACCAAACCCCCAAAGATATCCCTGTCCTAATCTCTGGAACCTGTGAATGTCATTTTACATAACAAAAAGGACTTTGGGGGTGTGATTAAGGACCTTGAGTTGGGGAGATTATCCTAGGTTATCACTAGCTTTGAAGACCGAGGAAGGGTCCATGAGCCAAGGAACACAGGCAGCCTCTAGAAGCTAGAAAAGGCAAGGAAACAATTCTCTCTGGAGCCTCCAGAAGGAACCAGCCCTATCGACACCTTGATCTTAGTCCTAAGGCTAGTTCGGGACTTCAGACCTCCAGGATTATAAGAGTATAAACGTGTGTCATTTTAAGCCCCTGGATTTGTGGCGATTTGTTACAGTAGCTATAGGGAACTAATCTACCTTCGTAGATACAGGATATTGAACATCATCTTAATGGCTGATTGTTGGCTGCTCTCCACCTTCCTCTGTCAGTCTGTGGGATGAACTTAACCTTCTCTTGTTAATACTAGTCATTGTGAATTTGCTTGGGTTCTGTAACCCAGTGCAGTGATTTCCTTAGGAGCTGTGCAGGGGTGGGATGGGGGTGGGCTTTAACCCCTAAATAAATCCACTGCCTTCTGCTCTGTCCACTTGCATTGTGTTGGTCTCCTTCCTTGGTGCCTGGCCGTGGTAATAAATGTTGCTTTTTCTCTGCTCTGCCTGTGGTGTTGGAAGTCACCCTGCTTGCTTTGCTTGCCTTTTCTAATCTGTGGACCAGGACACCAGTGCTGAGTATTGTCTGTGACTTCGGAACTGGTGGCATCTGTTTGATGGCTCAGAGGCCTTTTCCCGTCTGCTGTCTTGGGATTTGTGTTAGGTGAGCTGCAGGGTGGGCGACCTCCAGTTAAATGCTTGCTAAGGTGAAAACAGATGCACAGCAGTGTATAGTTCTTTCCAAGATTTTGTGCAGAAGCTGATATGCCAGTTGCTAACTGAGTGGTAGTCGGAACCCTTATTTCTCAGAGTGCGGTCTGTAGATCCCTGGCCTGGGCATGACCTGGGGGCTTGTCAGAAGTGCAGAATCTCAGAACCCCAGACCCACTGAAGGGGACTCTGCATTTGAACACCATTCCCAGGGGCTTCGGTTGCCTATCAGAGTCTGAGAAGCCTGGGGACCCAGTGAAAGACCCAGCACCAACTACAGGCTTTGCGGAAAGTTCTTAGTCTTGCCTGAGCAGGGTCCTCTTCCAGCTGCTGTCCTCACTTGAACAGTGAGTGAGCGCTGGATTGAAGTACCCTCCTGCTTGCTTTCTCTCTGTAGGTGTTAAGCTGGGGATGCATTCCATTCCCATTGCCACTGCCTGCACCGTTTACCATAAGTTCTTCTGTGAGGCCAACCTGGATGCCTATGACCCTTACCTGGTCGCTATGTCTTCCATTTACTTGGCTGGCAAAGTGGAGGAGCAGCACCTGCGTACTCGTGACATCATCAATGTGTCCAACAGGTACTGGCTTTCAGGCCAAGGCATTTGGGAGGGCTTCCTGCTGTCCACCCCAGAGGGGAGGGCAGAGAAGGCTCCCACTTGGCCCTGCTCTCCAGGGGTCAGCAATCAAACTTGGAAGGAGGAAGCACCTGAATGGCCTCAGATCAGGGCCAGAAACACTAGCAGCCAACTGGGAAGGAGCCTGGTATTAGGAGCCTGGGGTATCTGTGGGAGAGAAACCTGGGCCAGATTACGGGGAGCCTGAGAGGCTTGAGCAGAGAGAGCTCAGTGGGTATGTCAGCAAAGGCCAGGCTGGAGCCGTAGACAGGGACGGCTGGAGGTAGACGGGCACGCACAAGAGGGAACCTCCTCCCAGTTGGGCTGTGTGGGCCTGCAGGCCTGAGTGCCCCACATGGGGAGGGTGTGGACCCAGCAAGGTTGTCCTCTTACTTAGCCGGTGTGAGAAACCAAGTCCCAGTTGCTCAGGATCCTTTCTTGCCTTGCTGTGGGCACATGGGCAGCACAGCTGGGCCTGAGCAGTTGACTGCTAGGGAAGGATGCAGGTGCCCAGCCAGTCAGCAGGCTTCGCCAAGGCCCCGGGGGCCCACGAGAAAGCCACGTGACTTGTGCAAAGTTACTGACTAGCTGTGCGTCATGGGCCTTTCTAGGAACTCTAATCGTTAGGAAAGAAAACTATTTTGTTCTGCTTCTTTTTAAATAAACAGGTAATGGAAGAAGCACTCCCTGCCTCCTAACAGCAGGTTCACAGTGTACCAGAGAGACTAAGACAAAGACAGGAGGACCTAGGGAGGGCGGGTGGAGTCCACCCACAATTACCTGGTCCTCATCAGGGGAGCAGTGGAAGGGGACATGGTGCAGAGCCCTAATTAGGGGTGCGGGAGGCAAGGGGGTTCTGTGGGGAGATTGCAAAATGAGTGGGCAGCTGGGAAGGATGAGTCATTGGCAGAGAGTTTTGATTGCTTGAATGTGAATCCTGTTCACGTGCATCTTGGGGGTCTTGCATAGGTGGGAGCGTAGTGGGTATAAACAATGTAAATAGGATTGTGCTTAGAAAGATCTGGGAGGGAGGAAGGAAAGACAGTCTAGGAGTATAAAACTGAAAAACGTTCACTTTTCAGAGTACATCATACTCGTGATTTGATTAAATGCGTTTCTTGGGTCCAGAGTGAGAGCCCTGGGCATTGCCCCAAGGTGACGAAGAGTCCCTAGTGTCAGGCTGACCATGACGAGAGGCACAACCGGCTGGGTGTGCTGAAGCTTCAGCTTCCTCTGGAGCCGTTGCAAAGAGCCAATCCTTGCACTCGACATCTTGCTGAATGATAGAGGATGGCCCATCCGGCTCAAACTAGGAGCCAGGTTCTCTGTTCACTACTGTTTTCATTCTGTATATTAGACACGTAGATGAAGGATTATCTTATAAAAAGTGTAATGACAACGACCCTATGTTCATCTACCGCAGAAGGACACTGGAGGGTGTTTCTGGACATCATGTGACTTAAGGGCTTGACCAATTCAAGCCATCTCAGGGCAAACTTCTCCAGTCATCGTAAGCATTGTCATTTGTCTACACAGGTACTTCAACCCAGGTAGCGAGCCCTTGGAACTGGACTCCCGCTTCTGGGAGCTCCGAGATAGCATTGTGCAGTGTGAGCTTCTCATGCTGAGAGTTCTGCGCTTCCAGGTCTCCTTCCAGCATCCCCACAAGGTATGTGCCGGCAAAGTGTGCTCTTTGTTTTCATTCTGAGAGCGTCTCCCACCCAATGCTTGAGAGCACAGCAGGTAAGCAGAGCAAGGCAGCCTTGCTGGCCTGACTCCATGGGTTCTCGCAAGTGTTCTCCTTTTAGCTTCTGCCTTTCTGCCCACTTGTCTGTGGCTGCAGGCTGGGACCTGTGTGGCCCTCTGGAACTGTTGTCCATCCTGTGGCTCGTGTAGAGCGCGTGCTCACTGAGCCTCAAGGAAGTAGGGCTGGTTTCGTGACCTGCCAGAGTCCCTGTCCCTGTGAGTTGCTGTTACACCTCAGAGCCTGCATCCAGCTCAGTTGTGCTTAGAAAGCTATGAGGAAGGCCAAGGTGCTCGAGTTAAGTAGCACACTTTTAACTTCTAGGAACACGTAAGTCTCGACGGAAGAACCACTTCAAACGGCAGTAAGAGGGAAGAGTCCAACTCTTAGGAGCACTTGGATGTGCTACTCTGGCCACCCCAGCTCCACGTTTGGGCAGTTCAGAAGGATGGCCTGCAGAGAGAGATGGAGGTGGTGTGGTTTGGGGCTCTGGGCTAGGATCTCTGTTCTTTTTAATGTAAATTTTTATTGAGATAATTGGAGATTCTCATGCAGTTGTAAGGAATAACACAGAACCATCCTATTACCCTTTGCCCAGTCTCCCAATGGGAACACTTTGCATAAGTATTGTGCAGTACCACAGCCAGGATGTGGATGCTGACAGTCTGCTGGGTCCCCCACCTTTACCTGCACGGTGTGGATGGCTAGTTCCGTACAGTTTTATCACGTGTCTGCGTTCACGTATCCACCATCATAGTCAAGGTACAAAACAACTCCATCACACAAGGCTCCTTCGTGTTGCCCTTTTATAATTTTACCTTCACCCTTCCACACTTCCTTCCTAATCCCTGGAAACCTCTGGTCTCAGATTTCTACCCAGTAGGTTTTTAGTCGGCATAATGCTCAATCAGCATCCCAGGGGAAGGCAGGAACTGGACTGAGTTCAGAGATGACTAGAGTTGTCAAAGTGACGAGGCTCAGGAAGGAGCAGTGCTCGGGAGCCTTGGAGGACGTGCGATTTGTGCCAGGATCGGGAACTATGGCTTGGCGTTGCTGGAAGCTTGCCGGCCCTCCCCCTTCCCTAGTCAGGGCCAGGGTCTAAGGATGGGATAGAGAGTAATGGATGAATCCTTCATCCCTGGTGTGCTAGGGTCACACGCGTACATGTGCGTTCAAGATTGTCCAGGGAGTGCGCTGGTATCTTTCTGTATCACATGAGGTTTGGGCGGAGCGTCTGTGTTCTGAGAGCAGGAGCTGACAGCTGGGCTGGAGGGTCATTAAGATGTTGTAGCTGAGGATGGCACTACTATAGGCTCTTGGCACTAACTGGGAAAATACAGCGACCAGTTTCTAGTCCTCCTGAAAGCAGGTACCCTCGGCAGCAGGCTGGGCACGTGGGGCTCTGCAGATGAAGGCGCTGCTCTCTGGAGCACCAGGCCCTGCGTGATTTCCTACAGTGGCCAGGCAGGGCCCTGTGATGGAGAGAGTTTCCCTGGAGCTGGGCCTGGAGGCTGGGAGTGGGCAGGCATGTCAGGCAGAGGTCTCAGTGAGTGCACAGGCCTGGGGAGGGTGTGCTGGCATGTTCACACATGGCCGTGGGGTGGGGTGAGGGCCTTGGGAGACAGGGCCAGCAGAATGCATTGGGACATTTTCCTAAGTGACCTGGAAACCACTGGAGGGTTTGGAGGGTGGTGACATGATTGTGACAGCGTAGAGACAGCGGCTGGCAGGTGAGGGGATGGCAGCATGGCAGTGAGCGAGAAGGCAGACTGGCTGATGTGCATGTCTTTGCAGTACCTGCTCCACTACCTGTTTTCCCTCAAGAACTGGCTGAACCGTTACAGCTGGCAGCGGACCCCCATTGCCGTCACTGCCTGGGCCCTGCTTCGGGACAGCTACCACGGGGGGCTGTGCCTCCGCTTCCAGGCTCAGCACATAGCCGTGGCGGTGCTCTTCCTGGCCCTGCAGATCTATGGAGTTGAGGTGCCCGCTGAGGCCGAGGCTGAGAAGCCATGGTGGCAGGTGAGGTGACTGCTCAGTGCCGTGGACTGTGCCCCTTTCCTTTGAGAGGTCCCTGCAACTGGGGACCAGTTTCTTTTTATTAATTATCTGTCAAGAAAAGTATGGGCTACTTGGGAATCTTGAAGCTTGAAAATGCCCTGTTAGGAGAGTCTGCGGCAGGGCTCTCCCCTCAGCACAGCTTCCATTGGGAGTCGGATCACTGCTTGTGGTGGGGGCTGTCAGATGTTGAGCAGCAGCCCTGGCCTCCACCCACACATTGCCAGATGTCCTGGGGCAGGACTTGGCCCAGTTGAGAACCGCTGAGCTAAGCCAGGAGCGTCAGGCACTTGCACTAGATTGAATGGGAACTTGGCGAGGATGACACGTGACAAGGCTGGGGGGCAGGCAAGCAGGCGGATCGCAGAACTACATAGGTGGATGGCTAGATAGGCAGGTGACAGATAGCTGGGTGAACAGCTGAGAGAAGGGTGGACGTTGGCAGATAAGGTAGAGAGACGATAGTGTTGCTAGGTGGATAGATAGTAGCTAGGCGGGGCGGATGGCAGGTAGACCTAGCAGGTAGATGGGTAGATGAGATAGGTGACTGGTGAGTTCTTGCCTCACTCAGACCTACTGAAACCAAAGTGTGGTTTGTAGGACTTTGTCTGCAGGGAGAGCTGTGTGGGTGGTGGGCGCCGCTGTGCACAGAGGCTACCTTTTTCTGATACTCTCTTCCCTGGCCTGCTTGCCCTCTGTGGAAGACCACAGCTTTTGCTAGTTTCCCTTGTTTATTCTCTGTCTAATCCTGCACCCCACCTGACTGTAAGCACCCAAGGCCAGGGATCTTGTCTGTGCTATGTACAGCCACATCTCCTGTGCCTAGACGTGGCACATAGTAGGTGCTTGTGTGGCCTTGAATACACGCATCCGTAGTCCTGATTTCAGGCCAGACGTACCCCCTACCACACAGCGTTGGGGTGAAAGAGCATCTGTGTGGACAGACGGTATTGTTCCGTGCTTGGACTTCTCAGGGACTTTCAGATAATGTGGCTGCAGTATCCTTGCACGGTTGGAATCTGGTGGTGGTAGACACTCTCTGAGGACATCTGGTGGGTGAGGTGGTCCCGGCCCCTCAGCTGCTTGGATCTGTGGTGTTGTCACTCATTTCCCATTGTGCCTGCTCCTCCACCTCTTCCTTCTCTTCCATCTTCCTTGGCTTGCTCCTGAGCCTCACTTGCGTGCCAGTGCCTCCTCTGCATCCCGTGCTAAGCCATCTGAAGAGGAGTGCCAACCTAACTGGCCCCGTGCAGCCTGGAAGCAGCTCCGTCAGGAGGTTGCTTTCTGGGCAGCACAAACTCGCCCAGTAATTCTCAAATTGGGAAGAAGTTGCAAATGTGTGTTCACATAGCTCTTCTTAAAGCCTGTCAAACCGAACTTCACCTCTTTGGGATGCTTGGGGGCCTTCCAGAACCCAGGCACACTGGTGGGCTGGTGAGTCGTGAGGGCCAGAGGCCTGCAGGAGTGGCTTGCGGCAAGGCTGTGCCTGCCTTTTGATATGCCCTCCTCCTTGTGTGCTCATGGCCACCACTTCTTGCAGCAACTGCCTCAATTGTCACTAGTCTGCCGTGCGCTCAGCGTGAGAGCTTAGCGTGCTCTGAGAACCCTGCCTACACTCGTGTCACGCATGCCGAGGCTGTGTGCCAGCCTCTGGGTGCATGAGGTACTGACCCCGACTGGCGAGAGGAACAGGGATGGCAGCAGGATCAGAAGAGCTGCAGGTCACCACGCAGTGTTGCAGGGATTTCCATACCCAGAGCTGCACTGGGTGCCCTCCGTACCCTTCTTCCTGAAAATAGGGAGAACTTGCTTATTTGCAGCCACTGCTACTCTTTGTCCTATAGACAGAAGTTGATGTCCCCAAACCAGCTGAGTTGAGCCTCCAGGCCCTCTCGGTCCCAGGGGCCAACAGTGTCTCCCCCTAGGACTTAAGGCTGTGTCCCTTCTGCCAGGTGTCCCAGGATTGTCCCCTGCCATGGACTATTCTTTTTGATCGTGCCGATATACATATCACATAAAGTGTGCCATGTTAACACATTTAGGTGCACATTTAAGCCCGGTGGTGGTCAGCACATTCACGGTGTTGTGCATCCATCCCCACCGTCTATCCACAGACCTTGTTCATCTTCCCAACCCAAACTCTGTCCCCAGGAAACACCGACTCCCTGTGCCCCTCTCCAGCCCCTGGCACCCCCCACTCCCCTGCCTGTCTCTGGGGATTGGACTGCTCTAGGGACCTCACAGAAGTGGAATCATACAGTTTTTGTCCTTTTGTGACTGGCTTACTTCACTGAGCATAATGTCCTCAAGGATCATCCATGTTGTAGCCTGTGTCAGAATTCTCTCCTTTTTAAGGCTGAGTCATGTTCCGTTGTCTGCATAGACAGTTTCTTTTATCCACTCCTCCGTCCATGGGCACTCAGGTCGCTTCCACCTTTCGGCCCTGGATGCTTTTTAATGGTTGTTTTCAGCTTGGGGTCTCTAGGAGCACACAGGTAGTGGGCCCCAAGGAGCAAGCCTGTATTTCTGAAATATTTGTGTTTTACCCAGAGCCCAGGGTGAGCTGGCCATGCTTCCTGAGTCAGGGCTTGGAGGGTTTCCAGGTCCCCATCTCCCACCTGAGGTTGTAGGCTGGGGAGGGACCTAGGTTTGTTTAGTGGGTTCAGAAGGGGTAGACTTAGATCTAGTTCTTGCTTTGGCTCAGCCCAAGGCCTTGACCTTGTTTCCCTTGGATCCCCAGGCATCAGCTTCCTGGAGCAGGGCAGCTGCAGCATCTGACCAAGGGCTTGTTGCTTTGTTCTTTATTTCTCTTGTCATGGGGGTCCCCAAGAGTCCCCTCAGGCTCAGTGATGTGTGGGGTGGACTCAGAAGTCAGAAAAGCCGTCACGCTCACAGTTACAGTTTATTGCAACGAAAGGGCAGGGGTTAAAATCAGCAAAGGTACAAGGTGCGGAGGGCGGGGTCCAGCAGAGGCCGGGCGAGAGCTTCCGGGTGTCCTCTCCGGGGAGGTGAATGGACAGTGCTTAACTCTCCCAGCAGTGATGTGTGAGCAACAATGTGTGACAACACGTGTGGAGTATTGCCAACCAGGGACGCTCCCCCTGGGCTGTGGTGTCCAGGGTTTATACTGGGGGTGGGTCACGTAGGTATGGAGCGCCCACGGGGCTGACCTGGCTACACAGGCTCCAACCACCTGAAGGTCCCACTGATAGCATGTGGCTCAGGCTGCCCCCACAAATCATGTCATTAGTGTAGACTACCTGGCAGGGTCCTAGGCCCCTGCTAAACTGAGACACTCTTATCAGGCAGGATTTTCCAGGGGCTTAGAGATTATCCTCCAGGAGCAGGTCAGACCCCCAGGCCTGGGGGTTGGCCCTATGCTGCACACGCCCTTGGTTTGGGCCCCTGAGGACTTACTTCACAGTTTGTGAGCACTCCTGCACATTGTGGTCTAGATGACAGGTCTAGGCTGTAGAGCAGGTCCATGTGCTCCTTGGGGCTGGGCTAGGTATGGGATCCAAGTTACTTAGCCTGCTTATTTCTAGAAGCGGGACTTCCACCTTCTCTTGCCAAAATCCCCAGAGACCCTGGACCTGAGAAAGCCCCAGGCAGGAGGCAGGAGCCGGTGCTTTGGGCCTAGCTCTGTCACCAACTCCCTGTGTGACCTTGGAAAAGTCCCCTCTCCTGTCTGGGTCAGATGATCACCAAGGCCTCTTCCATCTGTAATGTTCTCTGCTTTGTAAAGTCTTTGATTGGCCTCAACAGGCTGGAACTGAACTGGCTTGGTAAGAAAGCCACCACCATTCTGGATAACCAAGTCCCTGTGTCCCCTCACCTGCCCATGAAATGCGATTCTATACTTAGTGACCAGTGCCTTCTTTAACACAGAGGGAGTCTAATTGGAACCTGTTTTCCTTCTCCTTTCTAGGTGTTTAGTGACGACCTTACCAAGCCAATCATTGATAATATTGTGTCTGATCTCATTCAGATTTATACCATGGACACAGAGCTCCCCTAACGCCCCAGCCCAGGCCTGCCCAAAGAGAAGCCCAGGATGGTCAGCTGCCTGGGGATGGTGCCACCGTGTCGCTGTGACAGCTGGTCCCCAGAGGACCAGCTGAGAGGACTGATTTTGTGCTGCTGGAGATGGGCTGATGAAGGCGATGACATGCTGCCACTTTGACTGTCCCCAGCAGCCGCGATCCAGATGATGATGGGAGCTGCACCTCCAGTGGGCAGGCCGGGAGCGCACTGTGTGCATCTGACCTGAGGCGGCCACATCTGCTTTTGTCCTTTGAGAGGACTCCGACTACAATCGAGGCATGACGTCATTGCAAGGAAAGTCAAAGAACAGATGGGACTGTACCCCTAGGGATTTTTTAAAGCCAGATTTATAGAAAGTTGAACGTGCAACATAGATGGGATTTTATTTTGTGTAATAAAAGATGATGTGAATCAACAGAGAGCCCTGTATGTGTTCTGTAGCTCGTGCTGCCCTTGGAATGCTCTCCGGGCCTCTTGCGCTCATCACCCCTCCTGGCTTTTGGGGCCTGGTGGCAGGTGAGCAGAAATTTTGGAAAGAGTGGGGCCATTAAGTGGCAAGCCTGGGGTCAGGGAGGATCACTTGTGTTCAGAGAAGCCAGACCTGGTCAAATGTAACTAAAAGTAATAAGACGGGGTTTTAAATATCAAGACAGCCATCTAGATAGGGAGTCCAGAGAAACTCAGAGCCACGGCACCCCTCTGTCTCCCCACTCAAAAGTCACCTCTTCAGAAGGGACTTGGGGGTATGAAACAGAGCAGTGTGAGGTGCATTCCTGAGTTCCCCCATCAGGCTCAACATGTGTTCAGCACATGGTTGCGTGTGGCCTGGGAACTGGCCTGGCTACTTCCCCACATTGGGGGGAGGTTCCACAGGGCAGTGGGCTCTGCAACCCACATGTGTGGGGGCATGCCTCACTTGTCATCCCTGGTTGGGGGCAGAGGGTGCGGTCACACACTGGCGACAGGTCAGGGCTTGCTTGACTTTTCAAAGTGACTATGCTGTCTGTCTTCAGGGTGAAGAATTGAGCAAATGTCACAGCCCTCCCTGGTGGACAGACTGTCCTGGCTGGCCTGGCCTCCATTTCATAGATCTCTCCCGTGGATTTCTCCTTAATGTGGGCTCATCAGAGGGGTGCCGTTTTAGCTGTCACAGTTGAGACTGGTTGGCCATAGGATGACATTTACTGAGCAGCTCCTGTGTGCTGAGTCCTTGCCTAAGCAGATGACGCTCCCTGCCTTCCTTACGGGGAGGGAAAGACAAGCAACAATGAGGAAGACCTGCAGCATGGGTGTGAAAAGTGCTAAGGAGAAAAAGGTGGCCAAGGGGGCAGAGGGTGGGCACCGGGCAGGCCTCCGTGCCCTGCCGACATCGCCCTGGCGACATCGCCCTGGCCTGGGGAGCATTTGGTTGACAGAATCATTCGTTGTTCTGTATTGCGCATGTACAGCCAAGCACCTGCCTGGTGCTGGGCTCTCCCAAAGGAGTTCAGGTCTCTGAGAACTGTTAGATGACTGGGCATGGGGTTCCATCTTCTATTGAAAGGGTGTTGACGAGCCTGGATGTCCTCCTAAGACCCTGTTCAGTCCTGGACTCCTGGGTGACTGAAAGTGTCACTTAGCAGTTCACCACATGGGCTCTTTAGGTGAGCCTTCTGGATTTCTCCTTTGTCACCATGTCTCCTGCTGAGGGAGCCCCGAGAGGCACGTGGGAGAGGGTGACTGTGGCCTGACGGAAGTCCTCTGTGCCCTGCGTCCTGCCATCAGTGCAGAGGTGCCGCGCTGCTGTGCCGTGGGCGGCACAGGGGCTGTGCCAGAAGATGAGCCAGGAAAGGTGAAAGGAGGAGCCTGGCTGAAAACCTGCCACCTGTGCCCATGCCCGCCCTTGTCGCGGACCATGTACGGCAGCCTCCCAAGTGCCATCCTCGTCTCTGTGCCTGCTCTCTTGTGCAGGGTCCCGTGCTCCTTGCAGGCCGCTTCCTCCCTGCCCTGCCGTCTTCTTGTGTCTCTTAGCTGTTCCTGCTTAGTCTTTAGGCTTGGATTCCAGCTTGTCCTGGCCCATGCCAATGGTGCCTCCTCTGGGCCCCACTGGCCCCAGAGTTCCCTTTTCCCCTGTGTCATTCCCACATCTGTCCACTCAGCTGAACTGGAGCCCTTTGAGGATGGGGTGGCGGCCCCAACCCAGGGCCGGGGTCAGGGGTCCTGAGCATGGAGGTGGAGGGCGAGGGGCCCGGCAGCCTCTGAGGGCAGTGGCGGCTCTAGCCTGCCCTTTCTGACTTCTACTGTTTCAAAGTGCCATACCTATCCTGCTCTTTGGCATTAACCATGCTTTGCCCTTGGCCAGTGCTTACTGTCAACTTGAATGGAACTCAGAGACAGGGTGTTTCACTTTTGGATTCTCTGTCTTATCCCCGCCTGCTCCCCAGTTCTGTTGGATCCCCCAGGCTTCAGCCTCCATCTAAACAGCCTGTGCACACACACTCAATGTGAATTCGTTAGGGCAAAAAGAAGTCATTTTCTCGGCTCTCAGCAAAACCTGCCCTGGAATGGGAAGGGCCAGATGGTGGGTTGTGTTAGAACCCTACAGAGAGCCCTCTCCACGGCGTCTGTTCCAGTCTGTCCTCCCACCCCTCCCCAGTCCCTCTCCCAGGGCATATCAGCAAAATGGGGCAGATGGTAGAAAAAAGCTCCCTGGGGACTCGGGTGGGCACAGGACCAGGAGTGCATAGCCCCAGAGAGCTTGACATTTCCCATCATGAGGACTGGACATCAAGCAAGTTCCTTTCTCTCTGTAAGACTCAGTTTCTCCCTTTGTAAATTGTGTCTCTTGAGGTTAGGAGTTCGAGACCAGCCTGGGCAAGAGCAAGACCCTGTCTCTACAGAAAATACAAAAATTAGCTGGGTTTGGTGGCTCAAGCCTGTTATCCCACCTAGTTGGGAGACTGAGGCAGGAGGATTGCTTGAGCCCAGTGAGCTATGCTGACACCACTGCACTCTAACTGGGGTGACAGAGTGAGACCCTTTCTCAAAAAACAAAAACAAAAAACAGCTGGAGGTATCATACTACCTGACTTCAAAATATACTACAAAGCTATAGTAACCAAAACAGCATGGTACTGGCATAAAAACAGACACACAGATCGGTGGAACAGAATAGAGAACTCAGAAATAAATTCATGAATCTACAGCCAACTGATTTTTGACAAAGGTGCCAAGAACACACATTGAGTAAAAGACAGTCTCTTCAATAAGTGATGTTGGGAAAACTGGCTATCCACATGCAAAAGAATGAAACTAGACCTCTACCGCTCAGCGTATAGAAAAATCAACTTGAAATGGATTAAAGACTTAAACGTAGAACCTGAAACTAGGAAACTAGTAGAAGAAAACATAGGGGAAATGCTTCACGACATTGTGCTAGGCAAGGATTTCTTACATAAGATCTCAAAAGCACAGGCAACAAAAGCAAAAATAGACAAATGGGACTACATCACACTAAAAAGCTTCCACAGAGCAAAGGAAACTATTAACAGAGTAAAGAGACAAGGTACAGAATGGGAGAAAATATTTACAAAACTGTACATCTAACAAGGGGTTAATATCCAGAATATATAAGGAACTCAAACGACTCACCTGCAAAAAACCAAATAACCTGATTTAAAAATGGGCAAAAAACTTGAATAGACATTTCTCAAAGAAGACATACAAGTGGCCAACAGGTATATGAAAAAATGTTCAACATCACTAATCACCAAGGATTGTGAATCAAAGCCACGATATCACCTCACATCTTTTAGAATGGCTGTTATCAAAAGGACAAAAGATAAGAAGTGTTGGTGAGGGTGTGGAGAAAAGGGAACCCTTGCCGACTGTTGGTGGGACTGTAAATTAGTGTGCCCACTACGTAAAACAGTATGATGATTCCTTGAAAAATTAAAAATAGAACTACCATATGATCTAGCAATCTCACTGCTGGGTATATATCCAAAGGAAAGGAAATCAGTACATCAAGGAGATGTCTGCCCTCCCATGTTCACTGCAGCACTATTCATAACAGCCAAGATATGGAATCGACCTAAGTGTCTATTGACAGATGAGTGGATAAAGAAATTGTGACATCTGTACACAATGGAATACTATTCAGCCATAAAAAAGAACGAAATCCTGTCATTTGCCACAACATGGATGGACCTGGAGGACATTATGGTAAGTGAAATAAGCCAGGCACAGAAAGACAAATACTGCATGACCATACTCATATGGGGAATCTAAAAAATAAAGTTGATATTCTAGAAGCAGAGAGCAGAAAAATGGTTACCAGAGACTGGGGAGGGGTTGGTCAGCCCTGAAGTTATCATTTGATACCAGGAGTAAGTTCTGTTGTCTGTTGCACAGTGGGGTGACGATGGTTAACAGTAAAATACTGTCTGTTACAAAATAGCCAGCAAAAGTTCTCCCCACAAGAGGGTAAGTGTGTGAGGTGATGGATACACTGTCTACCCTGACGGGACCATCACACAGTGCAGACGTGTATCGAGACATCAAACTGTGTCCCAGAAATATGGACAGTTATACTGTGTCAATTAAAAATAAATAATTTCTTAAGAAAATATTTTCCCTAAGACCACAAGATTTCTCACCAGCATCTTTGATTTAAAATTGAGGAATGGGACACGTGATGTTCTGCTGGAAGGAGCGTGGCTAAGTCCCAGCAGCTGTACAACGCAAAGTGTGTTATGTGGCTTCTCTGAGCTGTGCTTCTCTTGTTAGGAAGAAATGATTGTGAAGTGTGGCGGTGACTGGCACGGTGTCAAACATGCCAGTACGCACGCCTCCTGCCTACTCCTGTGGAACGCAGGGCTGTGGTGATGAGGGAGCTGGCGGTGGCCACGCTGTGTCTGGTGAAAACAGTAACTTGCGCTTACTGAGTGCTGTGTGCTGGCCACTGTTCTAAGTCTCTTTTACGTGTATTAACTAACTCATCTAATGCTCAAGCCCACAAGGTAGATTATTATTATTATTAAATTTTACACTCGAGGTAACTGAGGGAGGCATCCATTGGCACAAATCACACAGCTAGTTGGTGACAGAACCAGAGTTCTCGCTCAAGTGGTTTGATTCCAGAGCCCATGCTCTTTTTTTTCGTGGAATGTTAAAATGTAAAACCAATAAAGAACATAGTAGTTGCCTGAAATAACACACAATCCTTGTGGTGGAGAAAATCAGTGCCCACTAATTACACTAGGGTCCTGTGCTTTCTATCCATGTCTGGGGGACACGTGGACATGCCACAGGTGTCACCATAGGCGCTTAAGAGCAAGTGTATTGTTTCCATCTGTTTTCTCATCTGAACTTCTAGAAACAAAGGACTCTGAGATGATAGAATCGCAAGTTGGAAACAACCTCTGTACCTGAATTTCTTCTGAAGTGGAACTATGCAGGAGAGCCTCCCAGCATGCACTGAGCTGCGATGTGGGCAAGGATGAAGCTTTTGCTGTTTATTGAAAATAAGCAGCAGAGAAGAGACACAGGCAGGCACAGAGAAGGCCACGTGCAGACGGAGGCCGATATGTGGGATGATGTATGCAGAGTGATGCACATACAAGCCGAGGAATGCCAAGTGTCGCTGGCACCGCCAGAATCTAAGAGAGACCTGGAACAGAGTCTCCCCTAGAGCCTCCACTGGGAGCACGGCCCTGCTGATGCCCCGATCTTGGAGCTCTGGCTTGTGGCCCTTTGTTACTGCAGCCACAGGGCACGCGTGCACCGGCTGAGGCTCGCAGGGCTTGGCTGTCATGCTCTCTTGTCCCAAGCCATTTGGCTAAGTGCCAATTTTTTGCATGGGAACCTGTGTCATACTTGATAGAAGTCCGTGGGAAAGAGCATTCTGCTGACGCAAATTCGCAGTCTTTTGGGGAGCATGACACATTTTCCTAAGGTGCCAGCTGTCTCCATATGGAGTTTGGCCCAATCCAGACTTACTTAGCCTGTGGTTCAAGATGTACTTGCATGCCAATAAAACAAGGGTGCTCTGCTATTGGTCTTCTTGCCTGTTTTGGAAGCATGGACTCTGGTAGTTGGAGGGAACTTTGAAGCCATTTTTCTCTCCTCTTGGCAGCTTCCCTGGAAATGTGTCTTTTGGGGCTGCCAAATCTTAAAAGGGTGATGTTCAGAGCAGAGAAAGAGGAATCCGATGACATGAGATGAGGGGAGTCTTAGCACCAATGGATCGTTTGCAAGTCTCAGCCACGGAACTACCTCCCTGGCTCTTCCCGGCTCGAGTAGGGGCGGTGCCATGGAGCACAGTGTCCACACGCATGCGTGTTCAGAGGTAGCTGGGAGCTCGGGAATGCAGCATGTGGAGTGAGTGAGTGAGTGAAATGAAGTTTATTATTGGAAGTCTCATGCACTGCTCCTGGGAATGTAAAATGGTGCAGCTGCCATGGGAAACAGCATGGTTGTTTCTTGAAAAATTAAACATAGAGCTACCATATGATCCAGCAATTCCTCTTCTGGGTATATACCCAAAGGAATTAAAAGCAGGGTCTCGGAGAGGCATTTTTAGGCCCACGTTCACAGCGGCATCATTCACGATAGCTAAAACGTGAAAGCAACCCGAGTGTCCATGGAGGGAAGCATGGATAAACAAATGCGGTCTCTCCAGGCAATGGAACACGACTCAGCCTTGAACAGGAAGGAAATGCTGACACGGGCTACAGCACGGCCGACCCGTGAGGACGTCGTGCTCCGTGCAGTGAGCCAGTCACAAAAGGACAAATACCACAAGATTCCACTTCTGTGCGGGGCCGTATCTGAGAGGAGTCCAATCCCCAGAGACAGGCAGGGGAGTGGGGGGTGCCAGGGGCTGGGGAGGGGCACAGGGAGTCGGTGTTTCCTGGGGACAGAGTTTGGGTTGGGAAGATGAACAAGGTCTGTGGATGGACGGTGGGGATGGCTGCACAACACCGTGAATGTGCTGACCACCACCCGACTGTGCATCCAAATGTGGAAACGTGGCACATTTTATGTTATAATTATATTTTACCACAGTAAAAAAAATAGGGCGTGTGCGTGTGTGCCAGGGTTCTGGTGTTTGGGTGGGTGTGCTCGCGCTGAATCGTCACAATTCCTGAGGCCCCCGTCCCCGCCCCCGCCCTCGTGTGAAGACACTGGCCTGGACAGTCACCACGGCCCTTTTACGTGCAGATGGTGGCGGCTCCGGCGTGAGGACCCGGCCAGGCTGCCGCTCCCCACCGTGGCCTCTCCAGCTCTGGCGAAGTGGCGTGGACACCTCTGTTTTGTTCTGTATGAGGATTCGCCAGATAATAAATCACACATGTCACCCAGACCAGGATGTAGGAGCCTTTCATTTTTTTTATACACGGAAATTTTGATCTAGTCTTTAAATTAGGAAATTCAACTACAGACTTTAAATTATTATGCATCTGGTCTTCCTCGTGAAGATTTTTTTTTGTTCATCTTTATAACAAGCAGATAAAAATGTAAAACGTATTTATTAACTAAACACAGTTGCCCAAGCCATTTCGGAAAACATGATGCTTTATAAAGAGAGGCCCTCGGCCCGCCGACTGCCAGGAGCCAGAGCAGATCTGAGCTGACGCGGGTGCCCCTTTTCTGAGCCTCCCTCTGCCCCAGCACAAAGGCCACCTGGGGCCACACAGCCGACGGACATTTACATCAGGCAGCTTTGCACAGCAGCAGCGAGGGTTTGCTTTGTGATATAATCAGCCATTGTTTCTATTGTGTGTCTACAACAGAGAACGGGAAGGAGTGCGTGAGTGTAGCATTACACGGCTTAGATGCTTCAATTTAGACATTTTGAATTTTATTTCTCATTTAGGAACACAAAGACCCTCAACAAACCGAGTTGCCCTTTTTGTTGTTGTTGTTCTTTAAACAAGGACATCAGGGAGCAATTTACAAATGGGTAACATTCTCAATGTGCCCTTTAGAAAAAAGGGATGGCTTTGAGTTTATCTGTAGCTGGCATTTTAAAGTGGGATTTTCTTTTCTAACTCAAATTCTTTTGCCCGAGATTTGACTACTCCTGCTCGGGGGTGACATGGTGTTAATGTTAAGGGCTGGGACAGAGCACGTGTCCATTTGGCTTTGTGTGGATGCCCGTGGAGGTGAGACAAGCCCACCAGTGGGGCAGAGCAGGAGGGGCCAGTCCACATCTGCCCTGATCCTAACTCCCTCAACCACCTCCCTGCAAAACGTGACATCTGAGTCCAGAAGGTAATGGAACCTCATGGGCAAGGTGCCACCTGCCTTGCTGGTGTCACTGTGAGTGTCCATACTTGGAACCTGGGGCAGAGGGGAGGACTGGCCTTCCATTAGGAAGAGGTCTGTCCCTCTCAACTTCCTTAGTAGGGCAGCAAAAGCTGGGACCCTCTCTCTCCTCTCTGCCTACTCTGCATGTCCCCCATTTGGGGAAAACTGAGGCTTGCCCTGCTGGGTGCCCACACTGCCAGGACAGGCTCCCCTTGGGACCTGGTGCTCAGCCACAATGGGCTCAGGAGAAAGAGCCATGGGTGTGACGAGAGTGACAGCAATAAAATGCCATTGCTCCAAGGGGCTTTGCTTCTGTGTCCTGCCCTGATGGGTTAAACTTGTCATCTGGACAAGAAGAGAAGGATCAGAAGAGCGCTTTGATGGGTGGTACTTCCTGTCGCTCTTCCTGTGCTACCACAGACACTAAAGCAGTCTAGCAAGGACTTCTTGGCATTTGCAAAGCAAAAAATGAAGCGTGGTCAGAGGAGCCGAGGCGGACAGGGCCAGCTCCTCTTGGGTTTTGATGATCTCTCTTCCCGGCCCCTGGGACCTGGCACTGGGGTGATCTGTCTCTGCCGTACTAAGGCTGCTCCCAGGGTTCTGGGGTCCATCGGGTCAGACAGGGTGGGGGCAGGGACAGGACCTGAAGCTCGCACACAGCGCTTCATGCTCTTGAAGTTGGGGGTGTGGACAAAGGAAGCCACCAGCCAGAATTAAGCACTTGGAATTGGAATTGAAAGCAAAGGAAGCTGAAAACAAAACTTCCCCTTCCACGTACTGGAGAGGATCATTCTCATCAATACTTTGGTATTTTCCTTTTAAATAAAAAATTCCATTGAAAGGTTTTTCTCCTCTATAGGCAGGGCTCACAAAGTGCAAATGCTCCGACTGTAACGGGAGGCCCGAAGGGTAAGGGTGGGGTTCTGAGGGGCAGGCAGGGCAATTTGGGACAAAAATATATTAATCAAGAAGATATTCTTGCAGTCTAGTTCCCTGAAAAAAAACTTGCTACGTTTAATAATGAAATTTCAAATGAAAACGCCTAGTCAGAGGAATGGAAATATCATGCCAATAATAGTTCCCTATTCTGTAAATATGCATCTTGCCGTGTATATATGCATATGCATTCACACATACATACATACATACATACGCACACACGCACACATGCGCGCTGCAGACGTGTCTAGTTTACTCTGGGGATGGTTGGCTTTGCGGTTGCAGGTACGTTTGCAGGCGGCTCCCTCGGGTGGCCTGTCTGGGCAGTGGCATCCTTCATGGCCCCACAGAGAGCTCGACTTTTTTTATATGAATATGTTGATCTGATTGCTCCCTCATGGGTGCAACAAAGCTCCCAGGAAACCCAAGGCGGCCCCCCCAATCCCCACCCCCACACAGCCCCGTGGCAAACACATGGTAGAATTGGAGTGTTCCTTAAAAAAGAAGCGATAGAAAAAGGGTGGGGAACACAGCTCTTCTCACTGTCCACTTTCTCCTTCTTCCCCTTCGGATGAAGAACTTCCCTCTCCTCCTCCTTTTCTTCCTCTGCCCCCACCCTCGTCCCCGATGCAAAGCCTGTGGCAGGCTGCACGCTTATTGAATGGGTTTGGCTTCTTGCAAATTCCCCGCAAGACAAGTCTTCAGCCACCATAGTTGTCCCCCTCATTTGCAGGTGTGTGGGTCCCTCTGTGTGTGTGTGTGAGACTGCATGTGAGCCCGAGTGTGCGTGTGTGCGTGTGCCGAGATGAGTTCTGGTTAGAGGGACGTCTCCATGCTGTGGAGTGGGCTCCCAGGACTGGAAGAGAATGCTGAAGAGGTAGCTGACTTGGTGACATGCGTGGTCAGGTAGATGCCACTGTCTATGGCATTGTTGTTCTGGTTGGGGGATGGGGTCGGGGGGGCCCGCAGGCGTTCCTCGTTCTCATCCACATCCGTGTCATCGATGAGCGGGATGTTGTGGGTGTAGTCATTGATCAGAAACTCGGGCGTTGCCATGAAGTTATGAATGGAGGTCTTGGACTCCGGTTTCTCCAGGCCTTCATAGAGCGAGCTACGGAATGCTTTCACCACCCGGATCTGGAGCAGGAGGTGGAGTGACAGGGGCCCGAGGTGGGAGCAGGAAGGGAAGAGGAGAAAGGAAGGAAGGAGATGGTCAATGGCTGGCTGGCACAATGGATCCACCCACATCAATGGCCAGGGGTCTTGCATGATAAATGTCCACCCAGCGGAGGGTGGCTACGGAATGGGGTGCCTCTGCCTGGCTGTGGGAAAGGTTTTCAGGTCTGGGCCTTGGTCTTGTCAACTGATCCACATGCAGGACAAATGACAGTGGCTTTCTCTAGGCTGATTTGGGCAGCTATTCCGGAACTCAAGAGCAATGCACTACCTCCCTATTCCCTGCCCTGGGGGAAGGACTGACTTAGGTGGCCCCTGGCGTCTCTCTGCCCAATCTCAATTCCAATTTGGTAGAAAAGAAAGACGATTTGAGGAGAGAATGCTGGAGAGTGGGCTCTCTCCTCTGTCTTACCAGAAAGTCGAAAGTACCTTCTGGGAAGAGCAAGTTCCAGCCTGTGGGCATTGCTGGCCTTTCTTGAGGGGGTCTTCCCCAGGGACTGCGACCCACTCCCCAGCTCACTGGCTGCTCCCTCCTCTGTCCCTGGTGCCCCAGGCCCCTCCACAGAGCTCCAGGCCCGAGAGCCTGCCAGTCCCCCACCTGGGGGCATCCCTGACTGAAAATGGCTGCTTTTAATTTGCACCCACCAAGCCTGTCCCTGCTCAGATGCCCTCGTGGTCTCCTTACAGCCTCTGTGCCCCTACCTGTGTCCTTTGCCACCCCACAGCTAGATGCATCTGATTGGGCCTGATTGGGTGGTCCCTGCTGCCAGTAGCCCTTTGCGATCTGATGCTACCTGCTCCTCTGGCTTCGTCCTCAGGGAATTTGCTGAATTCTCCCTCCTCTGGCTCTTCTATATGTTGCTCCCTGGCTGTCTCCACTCCCCACCATGCCGCAGACTCCCCCGCCACTGCAGCCCCCTGCCCCCAGCTGGGCTCAGGGCCCCCTCTGAAGCCCCCTGCACCTCCTGCAAGGCCTGCTCAAAGAATCAACTCCTCCTTCCCTTGGCTTCTCCACCTGTATTCACACACGGACTCAGGTCTCGTGGGTTCACACAGCATGGAGCTGCTGCCTCTTTGTGCTCCCTCCCTGGCCCTGCAGCCTGGGCTGCTTCTAGGAGGCTTGCGTGACCCAGTGTTGGCACAGCTGCCAATGCCAGCTGACCCTGTACTGTCAAGGCAAAGCCAGCCCAATGGCCCTTCCTGTAGGGGACAGTGGAAAGAGTGCTGGCTGCCAGGGGGGACACTGGAGTCTGCCCCACACCAGCCAGTTCTCCCTGTGTGAGTGGGTGGACACGTTATGAGTTCTAAAGTCATTTCAAGGTCTAAGGTTCTGGGATGTGGTTTGTTGGCAAACTGTGGCCTGAAGGCTAACTCTGGCCCTCTGCCTGTTTCCGTAAATAAAGTTTTATTGGCACACAACCATGCCCACTTATCTACATATTGTCTATGGCTGCTTTCACACTCTAAGGGCAGAGTTGTGTAGCTGCAACAGAGACCTGGCCCGAACAGTGAAACGTATTTACTCTCTGGCCCTTCAAAGGAAAAGTCTGCCACCCCCTAGTTAGACAGTGAGTCCCTTTCAGCCCGCCAGAGTTGGGCCTTGGGGCCAACGGCTCAGCTGGGCAAGCACAGTGCTCCTAAGTCATTTTGAATGAGGCAACCCAGAGTCTTTCGCGTGCAAAACAGTACGCCAAAAAGTTCCCTTAACTTGGAATTTTGAGTGCCATATCTGAAATGCAGTTAGGATTTCCTCTGGACCTGGGGAAGCCACAGCTGCCAGATCACAGGTGGTCAGCCATTCTCCCCACGCTGGTTTCTGAGACGGGGAACACAGAAATTGAGAATCGTTTGATATTTTTAATGAAAGGAAACAGAACGCACTTTTTGTAGCCAACACCAATGTTGCCCCATTATTTAGGCCTTTTTTGGTGTGGGATTGTGGTGTGGAAGCCGCCCGGGAGATCACCTACACCAGCTGTTGGCTGCACCCATCAAGTCACAGAAAAGACAGACAGCTGCATGCCCTTGACCCTGGGGATGTGTGTGGTAAGTTTGCACCGAGACTTTGGCCACACTCTTCTCCTTGATGAGCAGGTGGCCTCATTCAGACCTGGGGCACGTGATCAGGCCAGGCCCCTGCTCTCACCTACGTACAGGTCTCACTGCACCTGGCTAAACCCCAAAGTCCAAGGCCACATGGCCAACTCTCCTCTGCAGGCCCCCCCGCTTCTGCTGCTACCACTGCTCTGGCCCCAAGGCTCCTCCAGTGTGCTCCTCCTGTGTCATCTGCCTGGCACAGAGTGGGCCTTGGCCAACACTTGGGGAAGGCATGAGTGAGTGCGTGGTGGCGGGACGGGAAGACCCTTCCGACACCCTGCTGTCAGGGTGCTAAGCCTGGCCTACGCCACTGTGAGTCGGCTTCTCTCCAGCTTCTGTTTTCCTCGCATTCTGACCTCGCGCTGTTAGAAAACGTGTTGGTCTCGGTCTTATGATGGGGTGTCTTCAGCCCACCCCAACGCTGAGGGCCCCGGTCAATTTCTGGGAAATTGGTTCCATGGAAACCAGCAAGCATTTCTAAGACAGGCCCGTCCTGGAGGGCTGAGCTCCTACACGGGTGCTCGAGGGTGTCCCCATGGCCCTGGGCTCCATCCTGCCACCAGCCAGAGTTTAGCGTGTTCCAGAGAAAGCACAACCAAGCCTAAGCAGAGCCCGCACCTGTCCCACTGCCCGTGCACTGGCCTCTTCTCCTCGGGCCCCTGCACGACCTCCTGCTTTGCACCCAGCCTGGGGCTCCCTTGCCACCCTCAAGATGTCAGACACCGTAGAGACCATGTGCACCCTGTCCACCTTTGTGTCTGCAGCCAGGGCCCACCTCTGCCTGGCCTGTCAGACTGCTGCACCTGCTGCTGTCTCCTGGGCACCGCCCACAGGCGGCTTAAGTGACCTCTCCGATTTCAGGAGGCCTGAGGAGGACTCTCAGTGTGGCCCTGGCCCAACTCTGCTGCTCACCGGCCTTCTTATCCTAGTACAGGGCTCCGGCCACACCTCAGGACACCTCGATCCCCTGACCCTATGTGCCATACGTCACTGTGTCCCGTGGGCCCAAATCCGGGCCTCTCCCCACCTTCACTGCTGCTGCCATGTCCCACCTCAGGTCCTGGAGGCCCCTGGGGACCCACAGCCCCCTCAGACAGAGACCTTGTCTGCCTGGTCCCCCGATCCTTCCTCGCACCTGACGGCAGGGCTGATGCCCCTTCCCCAGATGGAGTTTCCAAGCTCGCTCTGGCTGCTGAGTCCCTGTTGCTCCTCTACCTGCTCCAAACATTCTAGTAGCCGATGAAACTGGCCTGGGTCCTGACTGCATGCAAATTCATCAAACTGTACCCCTGAAAGCCATCATACTGAAGGACAACATAAAAAGCAAAGAGATAAAGGCACGCTCCAGGAAAGATGCCCCCGAGGGTTATGGAGGAGGCATCTGGGGAGACGGAGGGGGCCAGTCTGTGCCGGGGGACTCTTGAGTGGCTTCTTATCTCATCTGAGTGTCCCACCTCCTAGTAGCCTCCTGCCATCTCCCTCTGCCACACTTCTGTGCTCCCTGTCATGGCTCTGCTCCAGCCACTTTGCAGGCCCCCCTTCTACTGGCCCCCAACATGCGAGGCCCCCTCAGTCCATGCCACCTGTCGGCTAAGGCGTCTCTCGTCTTGAGCTGCAGACTCGGGTGGCTAAGCTGTGTGCCAAACTCCACAGGCCCCAGCCTCTGCCACTGCCTTCAGATGCCATCCAGGACCTGCCACTCCACCCCCACCCCCACAGCCCGATCTTAGCTCTTAGCATGTCACAGCCTCCACCAATGCCAGCCCCCTGCTAGCCGTGTGCCCTCAGAGGGGCCCTGCAGTCCTCTTGTATCCTTGCAGCCTCGACACATTCCCGCTCAGGACCCCCCAGCACCCCGCAGCCGTTTCTGCTTCGTCTTCTCCCTTCAAATGTCCCACGCATCCTAGAATTCCCTCCTCTGTCTCCTTTGAGTGGCCCACAAGCCCCCTGGGATGGTGGCCTGTCTGTTTTGCTGATGGCCCCAGTGCTCAGGACGGTGTGGCACCCAGCAGGGACTCGGTGGTCACAAGGCCTGCTGCCTGTCTCCTGCGATGCTTTGCCCTTCCCTGAGGCTCTCCCCAACTTTGCCCTAACCAGCAAGCAGGAGCCCCACTGGGGACATGACGTCTGCCTGGCCCATCCCTCCCCCAGCCCGAGCCCTGCTCCCCAGCTTGTGTCCCCTCTGAGGCTGTGGCCATCTGCACTTAGCTCTCTTCTCTGTTCCTTATGTGCTGCCCGGGGAGATGCACTGGGCACTGTGGCCTTGGCCCAGGCTCCTGACCTGCACAGATGAGCAGTTCTGAGCCTCACGCAGGGCGGGTGACGCTGCAGACCGACAGGGCCCATCCCCGGCCATGTGGAGCCGAAGCAGAGGGTGTGGTGCGCGGCTGTGCACGTGCATGCTAGTGCCCTGCGCAGGCCTCCGGGCGCTGCAGCTGGCAGTGCGGGCAGGGACGCAGGGGCGGAGAGGGCTGCGGAAGCAGGGAGACAAGCGAGGGGCTGGGCAGCAGCACCCCGCCGAAAAGGAATGGAAAAGGGAAGGAAAAGAAGAGAAAAGTAAAAGCAAACGCTTCTGAACCACGATGACAATAGTAAGAACAGAAAGTGCCTGACACCGTCTCGCCCCTTCCAGCTCCCCAGCAGAAACAAGCCCTGGCTGCTGCTGCTATGCCGTGAGACCTTCTGGCCAGCTCCTTCGCTGCCTTCCCACCACTCCGCACCAACCACTAGTCTAGAGCTTTCCTCGGGAGGCAGGGGCCTGTCAGCTTCCCGGCATCTGGGCGTTGTTGGACTTAGAGCAAATTATGAACACAGCAGCCAGAGAGACCATGGGAACTGCTTGCCAGGAACTGTAGGGTTTCTAAGCCTAAAACACTCCCTGTAAGGTGTGGGGGTGAATCACAATGTGAAAGCCACATAAGAAGGTGTCGCAAGAGCCTGTGGTGACATGATATGTCAATCCGCTCAGGCAATGAGAAGCCAAGCACGGAAAGCCTGAACACTGAGGAAGAGATGGCTTCAGCCTCGCTTCTCTGTGTGCAAGGCCCCTTTCCTCCCCTCAGGGACGTCACATGCTCGAATTAGGAAAAACAAAATACAAACTCCAGAGTTGGCTCTTTCACCAAGGGATCGAACAACAAAGCAGAAACTACAGACACAGCTTTGTGTACGTTGGCAAGCTGTAACTGCAAACGCCCAGCTGTGTGCACACTCAAGTGCCTGGACCGTGCGAGCCTAGACGCGTGCTCCCAGCAGCAGCACCCAAGCAGCTCTCCCGACCTGGGCACGGCAAGTCTCAGGCCTTTCAGGTGGTCACACAGAAGAGCACATAGGAGGAAGCCCCCCAAGCCCTTGCCCTGGCTCTCAGTCTGGCACTCGAAGTGTCTATGGGGGAGAGACTCAGATCAGGGGTTCCAGGGGCTTCCTGGGGCTGCGTTCTGGTATGTGCTTTAGGGACTGCCTGGATGTCGTTCCCCTGTAGTAGAGCCCGTGGTTCCAGGATGGCTTGCGCAGGGCAGGGCTCTCAGTGCAGGGGCTGGTGCTGTTTCCAGTGCCGAGGCAGTGTGTGCACTGTTAACTATCTGAGGCAAATGCCAATACACTATTTCCAGAAACCCAAGTAGGGAGATTTGGCTTAAAGCAAATAAACTTCCTGAGAGTGGAGCAAACTCCAGAGAACAAGACTTCTTTCACTTTGCCAAGCTCCTTCCACCATGGGGCTGTGCGTGTGTGGTGAACACACCTCCCTGGGCTCCGGAAAGGTGTGTCGAAGCCATCAAGGCTCACTCTGCCAGTTTGACCCCTTCAGATGCGAGGTTTTCATGTTGCAAAAACCAATTGAAATAAAGCAACTGCTGGGACCTGTTTCCGGCATGGTTAATCAGAACTAAATGGCCCCGAGGGACCCCCTCTAGCCTCACTGGACCAAACTCGTGGCCAGTCCCCTGCCCCTACCCCTTTGCTGGGTGGGTCAGGGGCCATCTTGCGAATTACTGCGACTGAACATCTGAGTGCGGAGGTGCAGCATCACTGCAGGGAGGACAGGCCGCGCTGGGCAGGAGGCTGGAATGGTGGGGAACAGACCTTGGGCACATGGCTAGAGAAGGGCTGGGGTATGTCTGTGTGTCCCAGGGGAAAACAGACACAAAAGCACTTTCAAGAGGCTTCAGTAGGGTTTTCCAAATGATCACGCACCCTTCTGTTCCTACCCGGCAGCAGACACGTCCAGCTGTGAGAGCGCCGCTGAGCTTGCTGCAGTGTCAGCGCGCGTGCGCTTGTGTGGGAAGGGGGTGCTGACATGCTGACAGGGAAAAGGATTCTGCACCCCTAGTCTCCAAAAAGCTTGAAGTGGTTGTTAAAGAAGGCTCTTCCCTGAGCCACCCGGATGGGCTGGCCACAAGGCCGTGGCCCAGGTCACATGAAATGACGTGGCAGCTATGAAGGGGAAGGCACTACACCCTGGGCTGGAAGGATGGTAAACAAAACGGCCGTGAAGGGGCAACCACCAGGCTGGGCAGGGGAGGAGAAATGGCTCTGAGCTGCAAGTTGGGAGGTCACAGCCGGCGCAGTCCAACAGTGGGGGCGGAGGAGGAAGTGGGGTCAATGTTGGGACTTCTGAGTTCAGAAGCAGCAAAGGCGAGTGTGCGCATGCGGTGGCATGGAAGGCTGGGTAGGACAGGGAGGCCTCGAATTAGGGAACACTGAGCCCCAAGGGTCCTAGTCAACCTGGGCTCGGAGGACATTCTTGGCTGTTTCCTGCATCAACCCTGATGTTGTCACCTATCAACACCCGGAGAGCCTGAGGTCCTTAGTGGGAATGACTTCGAATAGGAGGCCCCTCCAGTGTGGTGACAGCTGCAGGTTCGGATCCCTGAAAGGCCCCCTGACTCCTGGTGGCTGAAAGGCAGAGTGGCTGGGAGCAGGCGAAGAGGATGGAAAATTCCGCATGTACAAAACCGCGGGCTTTCCTTAGGAAACCTCATGACGTAAAGAACTTTCCAGCCTAGTTGGGGCAGCCTGTGACCACAGCACCTCGCACAGTGCTGCCTCTTGTCTAGGGCAGCTCCATCATGGCCTTTACCCTGCCTTCTTTCGGAGCAGTTCCCGTCCACCAGAAAGTTCCAGGGAGAGGGTGAGGACTAACACTGCCAGGCCTGGCTGCCTATGGTGGGGGTTGGGTTCTGAGTTCTAAACCAATCTGCTGCACAGTGATGAAGGCAGGAAGCAGTTTTGGTAGGTGGCTTCTGGAAGCAGGCATACCACCTTTGGCGTTGCCAGGGTACCCAACCAGCATCTTCCTCCACAGCAGAGTCTTTCTGAGGTGCTGCTGCTCAACCAGGGAGCCTTTCTGTCAGTCCTGTGCCTCCTGCTGGCAGCACATACTGTGCAAGGGACAGCTGCCCTCCCCTTGGCCAGCCACTACTTGGGTCCCCCGTGGAATGGCTTGCAAACAGCAGGAGGGTGGTGTCTCTCCCACTGTACTTACCGGGCACTGCTGGGCTCCGGAGATGGGGAGGAGGGGGACAGATGGCCGTGGAAGGAAGGAAGCAAGGAAGGAAGGAAGTCCTAGGAGTGGAGGAAGACAGAAGAGAATGGCCGCCCCCAGGGAGGGAGTGGGAGGGATCCCAAGGCAGTGAAGAGACGCAGGCCTCATGGGAGCGAGGCAGGGCTGGCCCTGGGTGGGGACAAGGCCAGAGCTGTGCAGAAGGCTTGAGGGATGTTTGGAGCAGGGCTGTGTTGGCTGCTTTCCCCTTAACTCAACAAACGGGCAGATGGACAGACAGACGGACAGGAAGCACAGAGAGAGATAGCAAAGAAACACACGGAGGAAGTCAAAGGGGAGGAAAGGGTGCGGGCAGATCCGTGTGTGTCCCTCGGGCATACCCGTGCCTGCTCTTGCCCCTCCGCTCCAAGGAAGGAAGGTGCTGCTGCCCACCTGGGCCCTGCCAGCCTCTCTGGGGGGAAGGGTGGCGGCAAGGCCAGTCTGGGCCCCAGTCTGTGTGCTTGCCAGCCCGATGGCAACCGTGTCAGCCAATATTTGTGAGCTGGGTGGGTGGCCCAGTGAGTGTGGGAGCAAGCTGGAGGTGTGTGTGGCCTGTGGTTTGGGGAAGGGGTGAGTGTGTGTGCACGTGTTCCCGAGGGGGGACAAGGCTGCCCAGCAGGGATGGGGCAGATCTCGTCCCTTCCTTAAAGGGCAGAGTGGCCTGAAACGACAGCTTAAGCAAGAGGAGGGGCACCCCACACCAGGGACCTCTTACCAGTTCCTGAAAAAAAAAAAAAAAGCCAATAAACCAAAATGGAAAAAGAAAGAAATCAAGCGGGAAGAGTGTGCGATGGAGAAGGCGCTGGCTCTCTCGGAGGGAGAGCTGCGGGGGCTAGAAGGGAAGGAGAGGCAGCATGGACCATCCCCGCAAAGGCTCTGCACTCGTACTTGAAGCTTGACTGTTTGGTTTTTAAAATCTCTTGAGTTTGTTAGCAAGAGCAGGCCTCCCTGTGTGGGAGTGGGGCCCACACAGCCTCCTACGTTCTCTCCCGTTGGAGGAACCGTGGGGTGGCAGGTTCAGCAGTCTAGTGGCCTTCCCTTGTCTCCGTAAGAAGATGTGAGCAACTGTGGATGTCTCTACCTCCTCGGGATGCTCCCTGCGTTCTCTCTATAATGTGACCAGCATGGTGGGAACTTTTCATTGAACCACATCGAAGGGAAAGGATTTCTCCCGGCTTCTCAGAGGAAGAAGGAGAGAGAGTGCAGACCAGATCGGGCTAAGACCTTCCAGTCCTGAGGCCTGTTTGGAAAGAGCGAAGGTGCTTCGGGAACCAGTGGCAATGGGGCGTGAGCAGCCTCTGAGCTCCAGTTCCCAGGACGTCTCTAACATCCAGTGGCTCGGGACAAGGGCCTATGGGGCAGGCACCACCTGTGCAGGAGCAATTCGCCAGCACCAAGCCCACATGGGGACAGGTGACAACAGCATCCTTTGGAAACCGCCTCAAGGAAATTGCTGGAAGCTGCCACTTTAGTCCCTGAGTAGGTGGGCTGGATTCTTCCACTGCAAATGATGCTGGCAGAGCACGTGCCTCCCCCAGTCCCGGGAGGGCGGCCTGCACCACAGAACGCCGAGCAAGGCCCCAGCCCGACACCACATGCCACCAGGAGCGGCCGAAGTTCATGAAGAACCATCAGCAAAGGCAGACAAGTTCAAGAAAAGAAAACCAATGGCAGAAGGAGCACTAAACGCAAAGCAAAAATCCAAACAAAGCAAAGAACGGGAGGTCCGGAAGTGCCATGGGCCAGCACGTTTCATAAGAGAGTATGGCTTTGGAGCGAACACCGTCTGGGCGGGAAGGACTGGACAGGGCGGTGAAGAGAGGGCGGTGAAGAGAGAGCGGAAAAGCCACGGTGAGCGGAAATGCGAGACTGGAAAAGAGAGAAGGCAGAGGTGGGGAGGCCTTTTCTTCCCCAGAGATGCCGTTTATGAGAGGAGAGGGCAGTCAAGACTCACTCCCAGCAGCGCCGGCGGGATTGGCGGCGGAGAGAAGCGCGTGAGTGGGGGTAGAAAGATTGGTTACGTCATGGAGCTGGCTGAGGACTGACGACCGCCGGCGCACAGCACCCTGAAATGAACCGCTTCTCTTGAAGGTACTCACTACCTCCATCTGTGGGAGAGAAAATGAGATAAAGTTCGGCTTGCACTGTTGTCCGGGCTACTGCTCGGGGAAGGGCTGGGTGAGGACAGGGCCACGCTGGGCACATATCGTGACAGCAAAGCCTCAGGTGGGCGCGCCCCGCTCGCTGGGAGCTGGCGTGAGTTTGACGGGGCCCTGACCGAGGCCGGCCTGTGTCATCCGCCAAGAGAGGGTTTGCTGAGCAAATGATTAGTGGGCACAAGACTGGGGGGTGTTACACATCAGGGGCACACTGCAAACATTTCCGAGTCATTTGCATTCACAATATGCTCATGACAAGCCACTCATCAGGAAGTACCTGTATCTGGCCATACTTTGTTATTCTACTTCGTAGTTCTCAACCTTTCTTTCCGCCCCAACACACCTGAGGGATATGACATATTCCCATTAGAAACAAGGCTCCCCGTGGCATGGGGCACAGGGGCCCTTCCCTGGGCCAGTTAGGAATCGCTGTCCTTGTTCACTCTAGGTGAGGTGGCCCGCCTTGCTCTGCGGGAAAGGGTGCCATCACTGTGGCTTCTGCAGCTCGTCCAACTCAGTGGATGGGGATGCCCCTTTGGGCCTCAGCAGAAGAATGGACTTAGAAGGCACTTCCCACAGACCCACAGGCAGAGAGGTAGGGAAGGACTGGGGGCCCAAGGTGGCCTCTGCTGCGTCCTCACTCTTTAAGCTTCCTAGAAGTTGAAAGGGAAATGGGTCTGCAGAAACTGCGACCCACGGAGGAGCCTTGTGGATGAACTTGGCTCCCTTGGCCCAGTGTCTTTGGGTTTCCCGCCCCCGCCCTTGACCGCCATGGGACCTCACCGGATGAAGTGAGCAGCAAAGCAGGGCAGGGCTACGTGGCAGCCACCAGTTTCAGCCGGGTGTCTGACACGGGCCAGGGCTTCTTGAAAGAAGGCAGCTCGAGTGTTCAGACTTCCCCACACCAACCGAATGAGGACGTGCACTACTGCAGTCCTTGGACGCACTGCCCAACCCCCTTCCGCCTGGCACATCCTGCTCACTCGCGACAAGGGGAACCTCACGGCCACCAACTGCGAGTGAGGAACGCATACTGAGCGTGCACGGTGGCTTAGCCCCGTGCCGAGGGTGTCAGCGCATGGAAGGAGGATGATTGATGCTATGGCGTCGCGGTCTCTTGGGGGGGTTCTCCTGTCTAGATTTAGATGTTCCTAAGGCAATGGAGACAGGTCTCCTCAAGAGAGGACTCTTACTGCAGCAAAAGGGATGAGGGACGGGAAAGATGCTTTCCCGCCTCGGATTCACATTGGCCTCACCTGGCTGTGGTCGGTGTCCCAGTGGGATAGCCGTGTCAGTGGAAACACTGCAATTGCCACCTCCCCCACCCCCCCAGAAGCCCACACACTGGGCCAGGAACAAGGCCCAGTCGCCGATGAAGCTCATCATTGGCTTGTCATGGAAGGCAAAAAACAGACCGAGTCATGAGCACTTCTAAAAGCTGCTACTGGGTTTGAAGGACTCTCTTTTGTTCTGGAATGAAACCCTGTCCATCTGGTGTGCTGCTACGTTAGTATGGAACAGTGGTGAGAGCAGGTAGCAGGTTACAAAATGCCTCCAAAATGTGGGGAGCAGCTTTGTGGGTCACAATGTCCAGCAGTCTGGGGCCAGCTGCCTAGAAAATGTTTCCTTGGCTTGGGGCACACACACAACCTGAGGAGTCTCTCCCTGGCTTTAGTCATGTTTTTCAAGCAGGTATTTTGAATCAAAGAGAGCAGGCACTCTTAAAAAGTTGAGCTAAAATAACTGGTTCAGAATTCTTGAGAAGCACAGTGACTTCAACGTGATAAAGTCAAACTGAAAAGCCATAGGGCTCAAGATCCCGCGGAAGAATCAGTGTGGCTTTCTTGAGGGAAGAGGAGTGTGCTCTGGGACAAGACACAGCAGACTGGGGCCCTGGCCAGCGCTTGCTCTCATTGTGTGACACTGGGCACATCGCTTCTCTCTGGGCCCCATTTCCTCATATGTAAAGCAGGGACCTGACCAGCCAGCGTCTACGTGGGCACTGACAATTGGAACCGCCTGGAACTCCAAGACTCCAACTGATGGGACCCACTTCTACCAGCACACAGAAGACACGAGACAACATAGGTGTGGCCTCAGATCAGGACAGGACTGCTGTCTCAGCTGATAGAAGAGCCAACGCAGCCTTAGGCTGCATTGATAGAAGTGAAATGGTCTACCGGGAGCAAGGTCCTGCTGTGTCCCACCCCCAGCTTGGGCAGCTCTGGGCTCTGCAGCAGAACAGGGGTGTGAGGGATGAAAGCCCATCTGGGGGGCAGCTGGGGGCTCACAGGCGCAGTCTTGTAGATGGCACAGTTGAGCAGTCAGGAGGGCACTGGAGGGGGACGTGTTTTAAACTGAGCACATAAATACATATTGCAGGTAACGAGAAGAAACTACCTGGCCTGTCCCAGCCACTGTGCTTGAGGCATCAGCACCCCACCTTGGGAGAGGAGACACAGGCCGTCTGGCTACAAAGGCTGCTCCCTTCTTCTCCTGGGCACTCTCTGAGTTCCGGCCCAGCCAGGGCTAAGGCAACACTGCTCAGAGTTCAGATCTAAGGTATCTTTCCCTGGCCATGCCAGGTTAGGTGCTCAGGATGCCAACCCCTCTGGATCTCAGCTGGAGAAGCCCTCGGACCCCTGGGGAGCTCCTTCAACATGGAATTCTTTGGTCCCACCTCACCTAGCCCTGCAGGATCCTGGTCTCTGGGGGTGGACCTGAGGACTCTGCAGCTCTGGAAAGTTCCCCGGGGCATTCTGATATGGCCAGACTCCAGTGCTCCTGGGTTGGGAGCACGGATGGCCCATGGTGGCAGGAGAGAGTGGAGTTTGAGAAGGCTTTGCAAGGCTGGCGGCCTTTGAGCAGGCTTTTGCAGTGTCAGGAGGGGGCCCCAAGGGGAAACAGTGGGAGCTGGGGAGGCCTGGGGCCCAGGCAGTGGCCAGCACGGAGGTATAGCAGTGTGGGCAAGCAGGGGGCACATGTGCAAAGGCAGCCAGGATTGCAGGGCTATGGGAGGAGTGGGCAACGCCAGGAGGCAGGGGCTTGCGGGCCACGCTCAGGAGTCTGGGCTTCATCCTTAGGACAGTGGAGGGAGGCTATAGGGGCCCCAGTGTGGAGGGTGGCATGGAGGGGCCGAGCAGGTGGGAGGCTGGGCCCTGGAAGGAGAGGAGGGAGGCCCCAAGGCTGGGCCTGTTGAGACCACTGGGAGGGAACGCAGGACCCAGGGCACTGAGAACAGCCTTGGGCAAGTTGCGTGGGAGATTCTTTGGGACAAGCCGATGGCGATGTGTGACAGGTTGGAGACAGACACGAAGGAGGGGTGTGGCCTCAGGTCCTACCCCAGGGAGTTGCCTACACAGACTGCCAAGGGGGGCCCAGCTGGGTGGTCCCACCTTAGCTGGTGCTGGTGGCCTACGCAGGCTTGGGCTGCACAAGTGCGTGCATGGTGGTGTCCTTTATTCTGGCAGGACCCCAGGGAGAAGTGGGACTGGGGGTCCTGGACAGAGCATGGAGGGGCAGGGAGTGACGAGTGTCTCTGAGAGGAGGTGGCCCAGGCCTTGCAGGAGGAGGTGGTGTGCGGAGGTCACCAGGGGAGGGGCTGCAGTGGGAGAGGGGCTGGGGCACAGGTGGGGCCCCCACAGGCTCTTCCTCCTGACCAGGAGTTTTAGCATGTAAAGGCTGCAGCAGGGTAGAGCAAGGGTGCCAGGCAGCAAGGACAAGGAGCAGAGACACAGAAGGGAGGGTGGCGGCAGACAGGAACGGTGGCGGGACAGTCCAGCCCCAGGAACTGGAAGGAGGCCTTGCAGACCCTAATGAGAACCATTTCTGGGGAGGGGTGGGCAGAGGCCAGGCCGTAGGGGGATCACGAGGGAGTTGGAGGGAAGGATGTGGGGAGACAGCAAGTCTGGAACATTCCGGCAAGAAGGTTGGCAGGGAAGAGATGGGGCCAGAGAGCAGGGGGAGTTCTGGCACATGGGCTCTTGCGAAGCCTTCACCAGTGCCTGCTGCTGGGCAGTACATGTGGCCTCGGACTTTACAGAGGGCTGTCACTGACGGCCTTGGTCTTGAGCAGCTCCAGTGTTTAGAGATTTGGATGAACAGAAAGGACCAACTCGGTGGCCAGAGTCCACATCCCAAATGAAGTCCTTCCATAGTATTTACAGTATAATCCAGCCAACAGCGAGCTCGCCAAAGGCTACTGGCCTTGAGCATCTCTTCCCAAGAACGTCACTTGCCTGTGACCTGGGGCAGTTCCCAGCAAGTAAAGCGAGGCCTGGCAGTTCTGTGGACAGTGCTGCTCCGTGTCCCTGAGAGACAGCCACTAGTCATTGGCCTTCAGTTGGGACCTGCACCAGCTACGGGGGGGCACCTGGGTTCTGAGGGAGGTGTCAGGGACAGGCACCGGCGGGCACACCTGGGAATGGCAGAGGGTGGACTAGCAAGTGCTTTTGTGACCCTGGCCCAAGAGCAAAGGGTGCACGCGGGCTCAGCCTGCCGGTTCTGTGCTTCATGCTTGCTCGCAGCGGCGCGGCGGCTTACCTGCGTCTGAATCCTGTTGAGGCCCCGGAACCAGAGGATCTGGCCCCGGCGGAGCTCGCGCTCGGCGTGGTCAATCTCTTCCTCCCCCTCGGCCAGCTCCTCGTCGGTCATCTCGTCCTTCCCGGGCCCGTGCCCCGCTTCCTTCAGGCATTTGAGCTGGCTGGTGGGGATGGTGGCGATGACCTGGGGGAGCCACAGCCGAGGGACAGCAAGCAGAGGTGGCTGTGAGAGCAGGCCTGGGGCCGGGAAGGGACCCAGACTCCCAACTCCTTCCGTCATGGGCTGAGGCCGGCGTCCATACCCACCCTCAGGCATCGCAGACGCAGGCATGGGACACCCAACCCTGACCCCCGTGGCTAGGTTTGCCCGGTGCCATGTTCTGCCTCCTTCCTCTGAAGGGGTTGTTTTTCATGTCTAGCAAAGAAGCAAAGCAAGAGCAGCCCCGGGGACTTGGCCTCAGGATTGAGCAGCGTTTCCCAGGAGTGTGTGCCGAGGCCCCCCGGCTCCTGGGAGGGGGTCACCAAGCCCCTAGGACGTGCTGCCTGAGGGGAGCGTTGTTTACTGGAGGGCTTTGGGCTGTGACCCACAGTCTATGTGAACATCGTGATTTATGGTGGGGGTCTTGGGCCCTGGGGTGTTGACTCAACCTTCGGAGGGCTGGAGACTAAGGCCAGCCACATGAGCACTGCATGCCCTTGTGACTGATCCCAAGGAAAGCCAAGGACACTTCAGCCCAGGGGAACTTCCCTGGGTGGCAATACTCCATGCATGTTGTCCCACATCCTTGCCCACAGAATTAAGCGCTGTCTTCACAACTCCCCTGGGAGGGGAAACCTGGAAGCTCTTGCCCGGTGTCTCCTGGAGAAGGCATCTCCTGGGGGAAGACAGGCCTAGAGAAGGGCCCGCTGGGGACTGGGGAGGAAGAGCAAGGTGACAAGGAGGGTGACAGCTGGAAAGGGCAGGGGGAGGAAGAGCCCCGCAGGAGTGAAGAGAGGCTTTGCATTTTGTAGGCCACTGGGAAGCGGGGGGAACAGTCTAGAAGGGCACAGGGGAAGCCGCACCAAGGGGCGACAGGCATCTAGAGTTCTAGAACAAGACGTCCTGTCCATCTTGTGTGTCTGAGCAAGTGTCTGCATCAAACATGGCCAGCAGGGGACTCAAGGACCTATTCACAGAGATTCCTTTCTATTGAGTTTTTTCACTTGAACATGTTTTATTGTTTTAATTGAAAAGAGTTAAAAACTAAAAGGACCACTTGATAGTCCTGAGAGGCCAAGCTCCAGGCTGGTGCCCTGTTCCTGGGGGGAGGCCAGGAGACCCAGTGGAACCAGAAGGCCCGTGGCCTGGGAGCTTGAAGGTCACGAAGTGGGCTGGCTCCCCCGAGCTGTGCTTGGAGCCCAGGTTGCGGGAACTGAGGGGACTGCGTGGAGTGACCAGGTCCAAGTGTGGCTACGAGGCGAGGTGTGTGCAGTGGCAGACAGAAAGAGGACAATTCTGAAAATGAGACGGAGGAACTGAGTGGGCTGTCCCTGAGGACACTAACACCGGGGACCAGCAAGAGGGCAGCAGCCCTTACGGCTGGCTCAGGGGGACATCAGCAGATCGAGAAAGAAAACCCAGAAAGCTACAGACTGAATTGTATCCTTCCTTAAATTCATGAGTTGAAGCCCTAACCCCCAGTGTGGCTGTATTTGGAGTAAGGAAGTGATCAAGGTTAAATGAGGTCATCAGAATGGGGCCCTGATCTGACGGGGTTAGCGCCCTTAAGAGAGCACACAGTGAGAAGACAGCAGTCTGCAAGTCGGCAAGGAGCCCTCACTGGGCACTGACCCTGCTGGGTCCCTGATCTTGGACTTTTAGCTTCCGGAACTTCAAGAAAATAAATGTTGGCGTTTAAGTCATCCGGCCTATGGTATTTTGTTATGGTAGCCAAGGTGATTAAGACACCGAGAGAAGTGGATCCTGGACCCAGCTTCCTATGCCAACGTTCCAGAACTCCAGAGAAATGCTTTCAGAGGCCTCTCGTGTGTCAGGCTGTTCCTTCCTGATCTAATCATCAGGTCTATAAACTTCCCCCTGTGCGTGGCTTCAGCAGCAGCCCACAGGACTGGATGTGTGGTTCTGTCACTTTCCATCAGATCATAATATTTCCTAATTTCTCTCGACACATTCTCTTTGCTCCATGGATTATTTAGCAGGTGTTGTTTAATTTCAAATACATGGGGATTTTCTAACCCACTCAGTTTGAAGGGGCACTTTTTGGCTCCTATCATGGAAAGGGGAGTGGCGGGTGGTTTCCTGGGGCCCTATGACATCCTGGCCATTGTCCTTTGCATTCTCTCTGCTGACACTGTCATTTGTGGCCTTGCCACCCTGGGTCATGGTACGTCACAGGCCTGAGCCTGTGGTGCGCTCTCCTGGAGCAGGAGTTGGGGCAGTGGGACCATCACTGGTGCCACCCGCAGATAAGACCAGAAGCGGGGCAGGGTAGAGAAAGCTGACCAGGCAGACACTCACCTGTCCCCAGACCAGCTCCCCAACACCAACAAACAGGCACCAGAGCCACTGTTCTGTGGATAGGGGGGAGCAGCTGAAGGGCTTCCCGCCGAACTGGACGATGACAATCTGCAGAGGACAGGTGGGGAAAGGCAGGTCCAGCAGCGGCTCCCAGGCCGCCCTTGTCCTCTAGGCCGGCCCTGCCCCTTGGAGGCCTGGCCGTCCTAGGGGGAGTCAGAGGGCTGTTGTTCCCTGGGGCAGATGGGTGCTCACGGGCAGAGGGCCTGGCCATCCTTTCTCCGGCCTCTTTCCCTTCATCCCCCCGTCAGCAAGTGCCTAAGGAAGGCTTCACGGATGGGCTGATCCCGAGGCCGAGGGTGCTGGGATGGAACAGCTGTAGCCCCTTTGGTGGCGCCCCTCCCCTGCCAGGGCTAGGCACCACTGACACCTGCCCTGTGTGCAAAGGCCAGGCACGCCTTGTTCTGGAGACCCCAGCACATGCCCAAGTCACCCAGCCTTGGCCTCCTGCCTGCTTGCTTCAACTGCAAACCAACCAATCCAGAGCCCACACCCCAGACACCTCCTCTGTCAGACTCTCACACATAGGGAGTGCCCTTATGCCCAGGACGGGCTGGACTGATGCACACTTGCCAGTCCTGAGCCTGCTTCCTGCCTTACCCATTCCTTCCTGAGGAAGCCACAGTAAAGGCTCCTGTCCACAGTCCTGCCTCCTAACTGCTGCTTTCCCCGTGGCCCCCATGCTGTGGCCTGCATCCTCCTCCTGGGCTCTGTGAGTAATCAACTGTCTTTCAGTGGCTCGCACCTCCTGACCTATTGGCCTTACCTACAGCACCTATGAGAAGAGTTAGCTCTGCTGAAGGCCCACCAAACCACTCCGGAAGCCAGCAGGTGACCCCAGGGCAAGCCCAGTGATGTTTGGAAGATGAACGCTGAGAGGGGAAGTCAGGAGGGGTGGAGAGGCCACTGCGGGGGGAGACACCGGGACAAAAGTGGAGTCGCCCCTCCTACCTGGATTCCAAAGGTGCCCAGGACGATGGTGCAGAAGATGGGGTTGCTGAAGATGCCGTCGAACACATTCCTCTCGCCATGGATCTTGCGGGCGTTGATCTCGTTGAAGAGCTGCATCATGACGAAGGTGTTGAAGATGATGGTGTAGTGCTCCGAGGGCGGCGAGTGCAGGGGCGCGTTCCTCCCGCTGTCAATGTCAAAGAAGAGCTCCCCTGGAAGCCAAGGGCACGTGTGAGGGGAGGGAGGCCTGTGTGGGACGGCCCAGCCAGCGTCTCCCGGCAGAGCCGCACAATATTCCCTGCACAGTTGTCTCAGCGCGTGACCAGGGCCACATCACTCTGGAGCAAGACAATAGTGCGTGGCTCCTCACATGAGTCCCTTGTCCCAGAGGGTGACGGATTCGAGCTCAAGGCCCAAGGAAGCCAGACCCAAGACTCAAGCAGAGTCCTGAGACCCCGCCAGGCCAGGGGCTGGACCCAGGGTGCTGGCACTGAAACTGAGGGCAGGAATGAGGACATTCAGACCTGAGCCGGAGAAAGTCTCTTAGCTCTGCCTGGCTCCCGGGACGGGGCAGCTGGGCTTAGGCCCTGGGCAGGTGATGGGAGCCTTCTGCTCCAAGAAATCAGAGTAAGGGCTCCCCAAAGAAGCCCAAGATACTGACATTTGGGGGCTCTCTCACCCTGTGGGTCCTGCCCCTCAGCAGACATTGTCCCTGCACACCCCAGGACGCACTCTGAAAGCTGAGCCACACTAGGCCCCAGAGGGTAGTGACAGGTGACCCCCTGATTCCAGCCCTTTCTAAGAGCCTCATGTGGATATGGGACCACACAGTCAAGGGTCACCAGACACTGGAGAGCGCCCCTGACTGACATAAGACCACAAGCAAACTGACAAACAGCCCTGCAGGAGAGCCACCACTGGTGCCAGCAGAGGCCAGAGGCATCCAAGAGGGCGATGTTGCGCCGGAGGATTTGCTTCTCTGAGGAGCACGCCCTCCACCCACCCTGGCCGGTCTGCAAGGCTGCTGGCCAGGGCTTGGGGCCCCCGTTCTTCTCCCAGGGTGCCATCCTCCATTCCTTCTCTCCCCTGCCTCGCCCCTTCCTGCTTCCTGAGCCCCTGGCCCCCTCACCTGGAGCTTGGCCACCCCTCCCTCCCCCTCCCCCTCCTTTACTCTCTCCTTTCCCTCTTTTCCCCTCCTCGCCCCTCCTCCTCCTCCCATAGCTCCCAGCACAGCACCCCGGTCATTGTCGCTGGAGAGACAGTCCTGGGGTATGTGGGTGAATGGATCTGGGGCTGGGTGGAGGAAGAGACACTTTGCCTGAGCAGTGGACAAGACCACAGGACACTGGAACCGCTCCCTGCTGTGAGGGAGGGCTGAGGGTCGGAGGCTCTCCTGCTCCTTTCCCACTCCCCGGCCCGTCCCGCTCAAAGGCCCCCCGCATGCCCCCGCGACGGACCATGCCCAGCCCACCCACCGACGAAGAGCAGCGTGAAGATGATGGTGAGCTGGTAGACGGCGTGGCCCAGGATGTTCTTCATCATGGTGCGAGAGATGAGGGGCTTGTCCCGGCCATAGGGCTTCCGCAGCAGCAGCGACTCGGTGGGCGGCTCTGTCGCCAGGGCCAGGGAGGCAAATGTGTCCATGATCAAGTTCACCCACAACATCTGCACAGCTTTAAGAGGAGAGTCCTGTGGAGAGGAGGCAGTCACCCTTGCAGAAGGCCTAGGCCCGGAAACCCAGCAGCTCCCGTAGAAACTCAGCGTGGGGTCAGTGTCACCAGAATTTCATGTCCATAAAAACATGACATCTCCACCCCTGTGTTGTCTTTAGGATAGCAGGGGCTTTTGCTGGGCTTTCTTATGCCACCTCCCTTCTTCTTGCAGCTGGAGGCAGTGAGAAGGTGTGCTGCAAACCCTTCGCGGGAGGTGAAAAACCCCAGACCACAAAACAGCCCTAAGATGGGGCTCTGGATTTGGGACAGAATGAGGGCTACTTTATTTGTTCCCTATGCCCAAGGGGCAGAAGGAGGCAGAAACTCTGAACTGGACCTTCCTTCTCCTTAGCTCCTCTGAGTTGTTGCTTAAAAATCAGTCTCCCAGAAGCCAGACACACAAGGCCATGTATTGTACCATTCCATTCCCATGAAACTTCCAGAACTGACAAATCCATAGAGAGAGGAAGCAGATGAGTGGTTGCCAGGGGCTGGAGCGGGGGTAGACAGTGACTGCTAATGGGGACAGGGCCTCCTTTTAGGGTGATGAGAATGTTCTGGGAGTAGATGGGGTAATGGTTGTACAACACTGGGAATGTACTAGAAACCACTGAATTATAGACTTTAAAATGGTTAAAATGGTTATTATGGTGAAGTTTATGTTATGTGACTTTTATCTCAATTTTAAAAAATCTTCGAAAGGACCAAGTTGATCAGTAAGTAATTTAACTACCTGTCGACAACAAACTTAACCCTCTCTAAAGGGGGACGAGTAAATTCTGGGGACTCGCCTGTGGGGAGAAAGGTGGGGGAGGCTCCACCAAGGCTGAACCCTAGAGCTCCCATGTGACCCTGCGTCTCCATTCCCAGGTCTAGTGCCAGGGCAACTGACAACACACGTCCACACAGAAACCCATACACGACGTCCCAGCAGCACCAGTCACCACAGCCAAAAAGTGGAAATGACCCCGTCCCTAGCAGCTGCTGGATGGGTAGACAGAATGCGGCACATCCATACAATGGAGCGTGAGGTGGTCATCAAAGGAATGACGTTCTGCCTGCGCCACCGTGTGGATGGACCTTGAAAGCCTGTGCTACGTGAGGCCCCAGACACAGGCCACGCATTATTTGACCCCACTGCTATTAGATGTCCCGAGAGGAGATCTGCAGTTGCCAGAGGCTGGAGAGGGGGCCAGAGAGTGACTGCTAATGGGGATGGGATTTCCTTTGGGACTGATGAGAATGTTCTGGAACTAGATAGAAATGATGGCTGCATAACATTGTAAATATACTACCCCCCCACTGAATTGTGTACTCTAAAATGGTGAATTTTTTGGTATGTGAATTTGATCTCAATAAAAAAAAATCTGTAGCAAAGAAAAAAATTCGTTCTCCCAACGTGGCCCCTAGGCCTGGGCAATTCAGACTCAGTCACCGCCTTTGGAAACCAGCAGCCTCCTGCGGCGGGCCCCGTGGGTCATGGGCGGGAGCCCCATTGTCCTTGTCAGGCCACAGCAGCTCCCGATGCCCACCTGAGTAATGCAGGCTCCTGTGAAGGCCACGATCACGGCCACCACGTTGACTGTCAGCTGGAACTGCAGGAACTTAGAGATGCTGTCATAGACGTTGCGGCCCCACATAACCGCCTTGACAATGCTGGTGAAGTTGTCATCAGTCAGGATGATGTCAGAGGCCTCCTTGGCCACGTCAGTCCCTGCAATGCCCTGGGGGGTGACACACACAAACAGATTTGCCATGGGGCCGCTGCCCCAGTCCCCCTCAGTCGCCCAGCCCACCTGGGCTGGTTCCTTGTCCTTCCCTTCCAAATAAGGCCCCCCAGCTGGGAACAGCACTGGTGTTTATCCAACGTGTTTTGTACTATGAACAGCAGGTTGTCACAGGGAGGCTTTGCTCATAAACACAGTGCGCTGACAACATGGCCATCAACACGGCCTTACACACAAGGTCCAGCTGCCGCCACGTGGCCACCAAGCAGCCTGCAGTCCCTTCTTAGTGCTCTAGAGAGGCTTGCTATCTAAGGAGCCTCTGGAAGTCCTGGACGGGGATGCCTTGGGTGAGGAGGAACCAGTCCTCTTGGTCCACACAGTGTTTGCAGAGGGACCCCGGCCCCAACACTCAGACGCAAGTGCAGCTACGGCCATGCAAAGTGCTCAGCCCTGTCCCCTCCCTAGTCCTGTCCCTGTGACAGCTGTCAGCCCTGCGAAGCTCAACTTGGTGCTCACAGCCCCCTGGAGTATGAGTGCTGGGAAGGGGCTGTGCTGACTGTGGCCAGTGAAGGGTGCTCCTCGTCGGTAGGGTGGGGAGAGGGGCTCCCCGCCCGCTGCTCCCCTTCCCCTCTGTGGTATGGCTGGGCCCCACCTCGTGCGTCACACCAAATACCCTTAAACAAATGGCACACATGTCCCCTGACTGCCAGAGCCCACACAGGCCCAAGTGGCCAGGATATGAGAGAACGAACTTTCTGGCACTCTGCAACCTGCCCCAATACTGGCTCCCACTTTCTGGTATAGCTAATGGCCACGAGCTGGACACAGGCCCACCCACTGTGGGGAGCTGGGCTGACACCGCGTGGCTCACCATGGCGAAGCCCACGTCCGCCTTCTTGAGTGCCGGCCCATCATTGGTGCCATCCCCAGTCACAGCCACCACCTGCCGCTGCTCGCCAGTGGTGCTGTCGATAATCCCTGGAACACAGAGTGGGACAGGGCAGGGTGGTGCCATCTGTCACCAGGCCCTGCGTAGCCCAGCCCAGGGAGCTGGGGAGTTGGGGCTGGCTCTGAAAACCCTTTGGGATTTTGCCTGTGCTACCGTTCCCATACTCTGTGCTCCTTGTCACCTGCGGTGTGAAGTCCACAGGCCTTAACCGGACAGCCCTGTCCCTCTGCCCCTACCCCAGCCCTGTCACCCAGTGAGACCGGCTCACTTGTTCAGGGGATAGGAGATGACTCTGGGTGTGTGATTTGGTAGAAGGGAGGGGCCCAGCACTGTGTGGCTTGGATAAGTATCTCCTGCTCTTGGGCCTCAGTTTTCCCATCTGTTATGATGAGGGGCCAGCTTCTATGGGCCCATCTTGCTTGGGCATTTTCCATTCAGCCCCTTAACCCAGAGAAGCAGGGTTAGGGCAAGAGGCTCTTTTACCTTTGACCAGAGTGTGCTTGTCGGTGGGAGACGAGCGGGCGAGCACCCTCAGCTTGGGCCACACCTTGTCCAGCCGCTCCTGCTCTATCTGGGGGAGGCACACGGAGGCTGCAGCACTGGGGTGTAGGGGCAGGGGGCGGGGGGGCCGGTCTGGGTGCAGTGGGGGGCTACCTCGCCTTTCTCGTTGCGGATCCGCCGGTTGAACTCCTTCCCCTCCAGGCACAGGAAGTCCTCTCCGGGCTGGATGATGCCGCACTTGGCCGCAATAGCCCTCGCCGTGTTGATGTTGTCCCCAGTCACCATGCGGACCGTGATGCCAGCACGCTGGCATTTGTGGATAGCTTCAGGGACCTGGAAGAGACAAGAGAAGTAGGTGGGGCCCTCAAGGCCACACATATGTAGAGTCCAGCCTGCACCCCTTCCTCCACTCAGATCTGCGGGTGGCCAAGGTCCAGTAGAGTGACAGTGGTACTAATGCGAGGCAGCACAAAGGATGATGGGGCTGCCCCACCACACAGCTTAGCCACAGTCGGCCTGGGTGTGTCAGGATCACCCAGCTTACCTGGCAGGCTGGGGGGGTGGCTGTGTCAGCTCTAAAGAGCAATGCAGGGCCTCCTGCCCCCAGCCATCGTGCTGGCTCCCTGATGGCCGGCAGGGCCCTGACTCAAGGCAGGCATCTGGCTTGTGGCCAAGCTTGGGGCTCCTCTCTCATTTGCCTCCGTTTTTTTTTAACAATATAAAACCTAAGATATTTTTCTCAGAATTAATCTTTTCATTAGAGCTGTAGGTTTCCATGATAAGGCAGGGAAAGTGGAACATTGTTTTGGTTATGCAACATGCATTTCAGTTTTCAAATACAGATGTCCTCAATTTATGGCAGGGTCACATCCTGATAAAGCATTGTCAGTTGAAAATATCAAAAGTGGAAAACATGTTTACTATATCACAGCTTAGCCTGGCCTGCCTTAAATGTGCTCAGAACACTTACATTAGCCTAAGTTGTGCAAGATCATCTTATGCGAAGCCTGTTTTGTGGCAAAGCGTTGAATATCTCATAACGATTTACTGAGCGGGAAACAATGGTCCTACGGGGACTGACCGCACACTGATGCCCACCAAGTCGAAAGTCGTTAAGAAAGTTGGGGGCCACCTGTATCATGTTAGATTCTGGAGCAAGGGAAGGAGAAAGATCCCTCTAGCGCTGAGTGGAAAACAGGCTGAAAGGGGCTGAGAGTGGGAATCCCGGAGATTAGCCCAGAGGTGGTGGCATTGTCCAGTGATGGAGGGATGGGGAGAACAGTTTCCAAATCAATGAGGAGGTACGTGGCTTTTCAGGCTCAGAGTGGAGTGAGACAGGGTGGGGCAGATGATGCCACTGAGGGGGAAGGGACAGTGAGGGAAGGGGCGAGGAGGGAGAGGAGGTTCAGAGCTTGGGAGGTGGATTAGGAGGTCAGGCCCAGCCCACAGTCCAGGGAGCCCAGGCAGGTGGGAGGGATGTATACGAGCAGGAGCCAGGCAGTGAGGGGCTGAGGAGGGTAGCTGGGAGACCCCAGAGGAGGACAGTCACCTGGGAGTCCCCAGCATGCTGGTGGCCCCAGTCTCGGGGAATGTGATCTCAGCCAGGGAGAGAGTGTGGGCAAGGAGAGGGGGGCCCCACTTCAGGCTGTGACAGAGTGACCCAATGATCCTTCAGCAAACACTGCCCGGGAAGAGCCTGGGTGCCACGAGGGGCTTGCACCCGCACCCTGGAACGTGTGTCCTTGCTCCCGGTGCAGGGTCGCTTTCTGCTTTTTGAGGATCTTGGGGTGCTGCACAGCAAGACCATGAGCCACAAGGAGACAACTCCCCTTTGAGCGAGTCCCTGAAGCGTCTGGAGGTCACCCCTCTGCTGCCACCAAGTGGCCATGAGGAGCCTGAGAAACAGGGGCTCTGCACTGAAAACAGTGGCTGAGCAGCTCTGGGGGACACAAAGGCCCCCACCTCCAGAGGCGACCTCTCTGACCTCTCCCTCAGGGGACACACTGTCCTTTCTCATCTGGGTGCCGGAGAAGTTGCCAACGGTCCCCACTCTGGCACGAACTCAGCCTGGGCTACAAGCTTCCTGCGCCCCCTGGGGCAGAGCCCCACGGGCCGCCCTGTGGCCGTGGCCAACCCGCACCTCCAAGCACCATGGCCCATGTACCCTCCCGCCAGCTGTCTGCACCTTCATGCCTCACACTCCCTCCGGGCCTGCTGCCTTCCACGATCGTGCCCTCTCAAGGGTCTGCCATCTTTAAAGCCCTCCTGACGTCAAGGCCATGACCGGCCTCACCTGTCCTCCTTGCTCTGCTCTTGCGTCGGCCTCTGTCTGATGCAGCTGTCCACCCTGAGGCTCTCACCCATAGAAAGATGCTTCTGGAATCTCCAGCCAGGACCTTTGCTTTGAGCTCTCCACTCCTGCCTGCACACTTTACACCTCCACAGGGAGGCCCTGAACCTCATGTTGCCCCAACCAAACCTTCAACTGGGAACTACCCACTCTGTGCCCCTGACCTGTGCCCCTCAGGCTCCACCACCCACCCAGCCCATCGGTTCTACGGGAATCGCTCCCACTGCCGCCCTCTCTTACCTGGTAGAAGGTGGAGCCTGAGCAGGGCCCATAGGCCACACAGGAGGGGGCAGGACAGGACAGAGGCTTTGTGTGGGTGCCAGGGTGAGAGCACCCAGGAAGAGGGCTCAAGTGCACGAGGAGGGTCTCATCTGGGGGCAGGATGGCCACGCCCTCTGGAGGATCCCTGAGGCTCTGGCGCCGATGCCACACCCAGCCTTTCTCTACTATGACTCTGGGGAAGTGAGGAGGGGCGCCCTCTCCCTGATTTCTGTGTCCAGACCCCACTGTGGAAGCTGGATGTGAGGAAAGGCACCTGCTACCCACGCGGACAACCTCCAGCAGAGCGCACAGTGACCAGGGCCGCTCACAGACAAGGGGGTGTCTACCTCCGGCCGCACGGGGTCCTCAATGCCCACGACAGCTATGCAGGTAAGATCGCCCACGACCTCATTCTCGTCATCCCAGTCAGGCTCCTGGCCTGCAGAGAAGTCCCGGTAGGCGATGCAGATGGTGCGGAGGCCATCACAGGCCATCGGCTCAATGATCTTCTTCACCATGTCATCCCGGTCCCGAGGACGAAAGCCTCGGAGTTCACCATTGCTGTTTAAGATGTTGGTGCACCTAGGTGGGGGGAAAGGGGGAGGCAGCGAGAGAACAAGAGGAAACAGTGCCAGTCACGCTGGATTAGGGGTGAGCTTAGCCAATGACGGTATCCTTGTAAAAAGAGGAGAGGACACAGAGAGACGCGGGGAGAGGGCCATGTGGCGAGAGGCAGACTGGGGAGATTTAGCTGCAAGCCAAGGAATGCCAAGCGAGGCCATGGCAGCTCCCCATGGACTCGATGGGGCAAGGGTGCGGCACATTGGCAATCAGCTGTCACCATGGAGTGGGGACGTGACAAGGCAGCTCTGATAACCCCAGGAGCTTCTCAGATGGGGCAGGACTGGGTGGATTCAGATGGAGACAGGAGGGAACAAAGGAGCTTAGGGCCCCAGAGGCAGGTGGGAGAAGTGAATGGGGCTCGCGTGCCAGGCTGCTGAAGAAGGAGCTGGCGTGACTGGGCTGCGGCAAAAGGAAATGAGACGGAGTGGGGACGAACCAGGTGCTGGGAGGTGACACTGCTTGTGCCCCCTCATTTTGTTTTAACAGCTTTATTGAGGTATAGTTCACACACCACGCAACTTGCCCATTTAAAGTGGACAATTCAATGGATTTTCATGTCACAGGCATTGTGCAACCATCACCACTATCTAATTCCAGAATATTTTCATCACCTCTAAAAGAAGGCCCACATAAGCAACAGGAAAATATAGATCAACTGGACTTCATCACAATTTTAAAGCATGTGTGCATCTAAGGACACCATCACGAGAGTGGAAAGACAGCCCACAGAATGGGAGCAAGTGTTTACCAGTCACATATCTGATAAGGACCTAGTGTCCAGGACATATAAAGACCTCTTACAACTCAACGATGAAAAGACAAATAACTCAAAAACGAGCAAAGGACTTGAATAGACAATTCTCCAGAGAAGACATACAAATGGCCATAAAGTACATGAAAAGATGCTCAATGTCATTAGTCACCAGGGAAATGCAACTCAAAAGCACCATGAGACGCCACCTCACAACCACTAGGACGACTGCCGGCACCACTGTCATAGTATCAGAAAATAAGTATTGATGAGGGTGAGAAACTGGAGCCTTTGTGCGTTGCTGGTGGCAATGGAGAATGGTGTCCCCTCTGTGGGAAACGGTTTCGTGGTGCCTCAAAAAGTTAAACATAAGAGTTCCCATATGACCCACCAATTCTACTCCTGGCTACATACCCAAGAGCACTGACGCAGGTGTTCAGTCAGAAAGTCACACAAGCATGTTCACAGCAGTGTTACTGACAATAGCCAAAGTGTGGAAACAACTCAAGTGTCCACAGACGGAGAGATGGATAAACAAAAAGTGGTCTGTGCAGACAGTGGAATAGTACGCAGCCTTAAAAAGCAATGAAGTGCTGACACATGGGTGAACCCTGAAAACTTTACACTAAGAAGAGGCCAGGCACAAAAGGCCACATAGGGTGTGACTCCATTTCTATGAAATGTCTGGAACAGGCCAATCCCTAGGGACAGACAGCAGATGAGTGGGTGCCAGTGCTAGGGTGGGCAATGGGGAAGGACTGCTAATGGGGATGGGGTTTCTTTTGGGGTGATGACCATGTTTTGGAACTGGATGGTGGTGACAGCTGTATAACGTTGTAAATGTACTTAATGCCACCGAACTGTCCACTTTAAAGTGGTGAAAATGGTCAGTGTTCTGACCATTTATTCCACCAGGTTCAATCCACCAGGACAACAAACAAAGAAACTGTGTACATACCCCTTGGCTACCTCCAGCCATGGCCCTGGCCCCTCCCTGCCACCCACTCACTTTTTGAGCAGGATCTCTGAGGCCCCCTTGCTGAAGAGGCGGAAGCCGCCGTCGGGCATGCGGATGGCTGTGCTCATGGACTTGCGGACAGAGTTGAAGGTGTACACTTTGTAGAGTTTGTCTTCCGGAATCTGCTCGCGCACAGGCTGGAAGTCCTGCTTCAGGTCCAAGACGAAGCCCAGCAGAGCGCACTCCGTCTTATTGCCCACTTGGCGTGGGAGAGCGCCTTCCTTCTCCGGAGGCTGCAGGGTGAGGAGAGCCAGCATGGCCCTGGGCCCCCGAGACCACCCCCGGCTGCCCCCGGGGCCCGCACGGCTCAGGGTGTGGGAGCAGGGAGCAGAGGAAGGCCTCCAGTGCAGACTGGATGGGCAGCTTTCCCATCATTCACCATGCTTGGAAGGGCCTTCCAGAATCTGCAGGCCAGGGATGGGGAGGAGGGTGCCCAGCACCCCAGAGACCATGTGGCACTGGTCAAAAGTTCTTAAGGGAGGCTAGTGAGCCCCTCGCCCACCCAGCCCTGCCCCTGCCAGGCTCACTAGTATTTTGGTGGTGTAGGCACTGTTGATGGAGATGGCGTGGACCAGGAGGTCGAGGATCTTGGGGGTCAGGGCGTTGGGGGCTGGAATCTCTTTGTAGTGGGTGTCCCCTAGGTAGGACTGGACAACGGTCATACGGTTCGTGGTGAGTGTGCCCGTCTTATCCGAGCAGATGGCCGTGGCGTTGCCCATGGTCTCGCAGGCATCTAGGTGGCGTACCAAGTTGTTGTCCTTCATCATTTTCTGCAAAGGGCGCAGACAGGGGTGGGGGTGCCTGGGTTGTTCATTCATCGGGTGGGTGGAGCAAGAGACGGTCAACATAGACATCAGGGGCCACTCTGCTCTGCTCAGCCAGCTCCATGTGGGGCACTAACAGCCCACTGGGGACTTCAGTCAGCACTGGGCTGACAGCAAGGCTGGAAGGCACTGCACGGATTGGCTGCAGGGTGGCAGACAAACCGAGGGCACTGGCCTGTAAGGCTTCAGGACTCTCATCCACCCGGGGGATCTCACCTGGGTCCTCCCCTACCCAGAGCCCCTGTCACTTGCCCACTGGCCCTGCGGCTCCCCAACCTCAGCCGGCTCCCACACACTCTGCCCACTGCCTCCTTGCCCCGGCCTCTGCAAGCAGCACTGGCACCTCTACCTCCACCCTCAAGTCCCCTCCCCCTGTCCTCCCCCTGCCTGCATCCTGCAGATGCCAAACTCCAGGCCTTTCCCACCACCCGCCTGCTTTCCAGCTCATCTCACTGTGCCCAGGAACCTGGGAGGGGAAGACTTCTGTGCTGCCGGAGCTGAGGTCCCTGCTCAGCGCCTCCCCTCCTCTGTGGGATCCCAAACTGTCCCCAGTTCTCACTGCGGCCCCAGTGCCTATCCCAGTTTCTGGGCCTGTATAATGGTATCAACTGTAAGTACTATTATTACCTTGACAGAGTAAGCTAAGGAGATGGTGACAGCAAGAGGCAGGCCCTCTGGGACAGCCACAACCAGCACAGTGACACCAATGATGAAGAACTTCACAAAGTACTGCACGTAGACGGGTGTGCACTCTGCCAGCCATGCCCGGCCGTCCACGACAAAGGTCTCAATGACAAAGTAGAGGACCAGGATGATGACGGTGATGGCAGACATCACCAGCCCTGCCGCAGAGGGTGGGGCAGGAACGGGGTGAGGGAGGCAGGGAGGAAGAGGGAAGAAGAGGTAGGAGCCAGGTCAGGGCCTTTCCCAATAGCTCAGGGATGTGGCTCTGCAGGGTGAGCATGGGGCCTGCTTGTGTGGGGGCTCCAAAGGGCCTCTGCTGGAGTCCCCAAATGGCAGGAAAAGCATGGCTGTGGGGGACCAGCAAGCTTCGACCCACCCTCAGAAGTCAGGGTACCAGCCAGCTGGCTGCCTTTTGACTGTGCCCCAGGCAGAGCCTGGAGCCTGGGGTGGGGAGCCCAGGGGGTAACGTGAGTAATTCGTGTGCCCTGGGGCCTTAGTGGAGGGTTTGGAATTTATGTGCACGGGGGAGGGCTGGGCCAGGCCCTGATGGCCATCTCTGGCCCTAGCCTGTACCCGCTGGCTGCCTGGCCCACATATCACTTGTCACATCCCTTCCAGCTCACCTGCAGGAGCCTGGTGACCTCTGCTCCCGGTCCCTACCTGCTTTCCCAATCTGCACGGCCAGTTTTGTGAGCTTCCCCTGAAGGACAGACTTCTCCTTCTTGGGCACGTTGGCTTTTTTCTTCTCCCGCTCCTCCATCTCCCCGCCCTCCGCACTCTTCAGGGGCTGCATTTCCATGGCAACTGCCCCATCCTGCTTCTTAGCTGCACACAGAGGAATCCCACAGCCAAGGTTAGGGCCTGGCTGGGGTAAAGAGACTACAAGTGGCTTTCATGGGTAAAGACATGCCACACCATAAGAGAGGACATGGGATTCAGTGGAGTTCTCTAATTTCCAAGTTAAACACGGCTTCCTTCTCTCCCTCCCAAGCCCAGGCCCTCTCGGGGTGGATGGGGTGGCTCCAGTGCTGTCCTAGGTAGGACAGACAGATGGTTCTCTTGGGGGAAGGGAGGACAGACACAATCACGAGGTACTTGGGCACACAGACAGGGTGACCAGTCCTGGAACACCCAAATCTCAATACCTGAGAGCAGAGGCCTGTAGCCCAAGGAATGTTCCGGAATCTTGAGCTGACTTATCTGCCCACCAGTGTCCAAGCCACCTGTCTGCTCTAGTCAGAGGGGCCTAAGAGCCTCTAAGCCGTCTCTCCTCTCAGCAGCCTGTCCCCTGGGCAAGCCTTGTCTGTCTGTCCAGCTGCCTCCCCCTAGAGCAGGTGGCCCCCTCACTCCTCCCGTGAGGGTCCTGTGCCCCTCATCCTTGCTACCTTTGACATGGTGGTGGCATGTCCCCCAGCTCTGGCCCCCTGTTTTCCCCACCCCTCTGCCTCTGTCACCTCCCTCCCCACCAAGCTCTGGCCGCACCAACTCCACAGCCTCAGGGTCTTGACGACTGCCGAAGTAATTGTGTCCACCCCTACCTGTTTCCTGGGCCCCGGCCCCCAGCCAGCAACGCAGGGGTTCCCCATCCTGTCCTTGTGCCCTGCCCAATGGGGCTCTTGGCACTACTGCCCTCACCTCTTGTCTCCTCCTCACCTGGTGGCCTGAGGCCACTCACCATGGCTCTTTCCTCCCAGCGCCTCAGGGACACACTGGCCCCACACAGCTGGGCCACTCCCCCTTAACCCAGGGCTCCAGACATTAGGCTGTCCCCTGCCCCTAACCCTCACAACCCTAGTTATCCTCTAAGCTCCAAGTGGCTTGTCTGACCCTGTTATGGTCCCTGGGTCGCTGGGTGAGACCATAGCATACTACACTTGAGTATTGTCCCCATGTCCCTCTCTCTGTGCCGTGACCTTCCAGAGGGCCTGGGCCATGCTTTGTCCATTTTTGGGTTCTCTGCACCTAGAATTGCTCGCTGATTTGACCTGACATCTCCTCTCTTCTGTGGGCCACCTGCCATCCAGCTACTTTTGCTGCCTGTGTCTCATAGCCGGACACAGGCCTGGCCACAGAGTGTCCGCACCCACCAAGCAGCCGGGCTGGGAGCAGAGCCAGGCTTCTAGCCCTTGGCTGGCTGCTCTCTCTCCTTGGCCCACAGGGTCAGCTGGAGGGTAGCTGACCTGTCCCCCTGCTCTGGCCCCACTGACTGGGATGCAGAGCTTGGGGAAAATCACCCACTCTGTACCCCAGTTTCCTTATCTGGCCAAAGTGGCCCCGGGGTGCTCATGTACAGGTGATCTCTGTGCACTTGCTGGGCTAAGGCACAGACAAGCGTGGGCTATGACGATGGATGGGCGGCCATCCTCTAGGTGGCCTGTCTGAGCTTCCATCAGTGTCTATGGACAGGATGCCTGGAGCAGCCCCAGGGGTGTGCCCTCTCCTCCCTCTGCACCAAGATGGGACTATGGAGCCCACTCACCTGGTCTCCAAGTGAGGCCGGTGGCCCCTCCCCCCATGCCCTCCGCCAACCCCATCCCCAGGGCTCCAAGCGGCCGCCCCAGCAGTGGCGCGCGTTACCTTTGGTCTGGCTACTCTCCATCGCCCCATCCTGCTGCTTGCCTACAATGGAAGAGGGACGACAGACACGAAGGCTTGAGAACATCAACGTGGCGCGCGCGCACGCGCGCGCGTGCACACACACACACATACACACACACACACAGACACACGCGGAGGACAGCCTCAGGGCTACGTGGCAAAGGAGGAGGGAGCAGAAGGAGCGGCCTGATTGCTGGTGGCCCTGACTGCTGCCCAAGGTGGCACCTTCTCAATGCCCTGTACTCTCCAGGCTCATCCTGTCACCACCTCCCCACACACAGTCCCCCCAAAGCTCCAGGATTCCTGAGCAAGACCGCTTGCTGGCTGGGGCTCCCCCTGGGCCTTCATCCAGCTACCCACAGAGAACCCCTAAAGCCAGTCCTTGACAGGTCCAGGGTCACGTGTGGCTGGTAGCAGGAGGTTTCCAGAAGCAGGGTCCTCCTCTACTCGGGATGTTGCTTCCCCAGAACCCGCTCAAGGGGTTCACCTAGATGGTTCCTAACCCCCCGTAGCTGGGCAGCCAGCACCCAGCCACCCTGGCCTAGGGATTGGATTTCCCTGCAACCACTGCCAGCAGTAATCTCAGTTTGTGCCTTAAAGTGATAAAGGAATGAGACCCTGGGACTCTGCTAGACCTTGGGCACCTACTAGGCACCTCTAGGTCATTGGTTAACCTAGGGCAAAGCTCACTTGTAGCCCAGGGCACTGCACAGGAGGGCTGGGCTGAGTGCCAGTGCCCTGCAGCACTGGAGAAAGTGTGCACATCGGACAGGACAGGCACTAGGGGACCCGCCCAGGGGCTTCGGTGGTGGCCACAGCCCTCCTAGGGGCCATGGCGCCGGACAGCCCTTCTGAGGGCTACAGTTAGAGGAGCTCTCCTGGGGGCCACAACCAAAATGGCCCTGGATCCAGAGATGAATCAGCCAGGGCAGGAGGGGCTTATGGGCTGACCTATCAGTCACCACCCAATGTCTCATGTCCCTGGGGATCCAAGTGGCATGAGATGTCAGGAAGCGGGAGAGGCCCAGGGCCCCTGTAGGGGTTGAGGGGGGCAGTTCAAAGGTGAAAGAGACTTCTGGGGGGCAGGGAAGGCACCCATAGACATATGATGACAGCACAATGACAATACAGCACAACAAGGGAGATGCTGGCCATGAGGCCCAGAGGAAGGAGGGACTACAGAGCCTGCCTGCAGGTGGGTGGATGAGAGAGCTCTGGAGGAGGGAGGAGTGCAGTGAATGCTGCGGGAAGATGAGGACTGGGCCTGGCACAGAGGGGCAGCAGTGGAGGGAAGGTGATGAGGGGAAGGAGGACACGTGGAGGAGAAGGGTACATAAGAGTCAAAGTCAAAAGGTAAGAAATAAGGGGTAGCGGGTGGAAAGGGGGCTGGGGAGGCCGCGAGGGGGAGGGTGACGGGGGAGCTGCCCATGCTGCTGCTGCCCCTCCAGGGCCTCTCAGGGTCCCCTCTCCAGCACCCGCCCTGCCTGAGGGTGCTGGGGTGGGGAAGGGGCCTGGGAGGGGCTGGATGGATCTGGTCAAGTTTGAAGAGGAGGAGGACCAAGTTGGGAAAGACACCAGCATTTAAGGGACAGAGCAGGAAGTAAGGAGACTGGGAAAAAGGTGCAGGAGCCACTGAGAGTATAGGTTCCATTAGGCCAAGGGACAGGGCCTTGGAGGGTCTGGTATGGAAGAGGCTCCTTGCCAACCAGTTGGGGATGAGGCCACCAGGTGGGGTCAACTGGGCTTCCCTAGAGAGAGGCCTGGGGACTTCAGCCCAGCCCGGACGGCCAGATAGGCCCAGGGCCTGCCTATCGGCCTGTGTACTCCTAGGGCACTCACTGCAGGGACAGGGGGCTGGTGTGACAAAGAAGGGGGCTGCGTGGCAGAGGTGCCCACGCAGGGAGACACAGGCCCAGGCTGCCAGGAGGCAGGGCCTATGGAAACTTCTAGGCAACAGCAGCTTACCCAGCTCCTCCCTCACCGCCTCCAGGAGGAGGGAGCTTCTTGAGGTGACCCAGTGCCCAGCCTTCCTTAGGCTCACCTGTCCCCACCCAAACCTTGGCTGATGACCGCTCCCCAGCTCACCAGCCCCAGTGTGCGCTGGAGGCTACGGGCAGGAAGCAGAGCTCTCCCACGCGGGGCACACATCTAGCAACCTGCTCCTACCTGGTACCGGCTGCAGGAGACGCCTGCGGGCAAGCCCAGGCCAAAGCAAGGGGGGCCCTGGGCACACTGCGGGCAGCCCCCAGACACTGCTCTGCCTCCGCCCAGCCTTCTCTGACCCCGTATGGCCTTTGAGGAGTTCCGTCCTGCTCTGCTGCCTCGTCGTGCTCGGGCGGCTCTGCCTCTGACTTCTGGCCCCCGTTTCCCTGGCTGCCATGCTGGCCTGGGGTCCTTGGCACCTCAGTGGGTGCTGGCCCTGCTCCTGTCCAGGCGGGGCACAGTCCTTCACCCCAGGAACATGCTCCCAAAGCCTTAGGGGGACAGTGGTTTAAGGAAAGCTACCCGTACACAGAACTGGGGGGACCCCAGCCTTCTGGCTCCCTAGGGGAAACCTCCGAAGAGCAGTCCCCGAGAAGGCTTGGAAGACAGGGTGTGGCCTCCTACCCACTGAGCGCAGGCCGTGGTGACAGGCAGCCATGTTGCCGTACCTTTCTTATCCTTCTTCTCCTCCTCTTCTCCACCAGTTCCAAGCAAGGTAAAGATGATGCCTGTCTGGGAGTTCACACCGACGGCCGTCACCACCATCCTTCCAGAACCCTCCATAACATGAGTGCCTGGCAGAGCAACACAGAGAGAGACAGGAGTTTGCACCCCTGGTGAAAGACATGTTCAGCACCCACAGAAACAGGGACTCCGCACCAGAGGCCACCAGAGACCGTATTGACCTGAAGTCTAGGCTGGAGGCCCTCCCGGGTCCACAGAGGAGGAGGGGCTCACCCAGAGGCATGGGGAGCCATTCTTGGGGCCCACCTAGGGCCTCTAGCCGTCCTGTCCTGTTTCCCACTGTCTCTCCCACGGGGATAAACCCTGGGCTAAGTCAGGACCTTCTGGGGAGGAGCACTGCCCCACGGGTCTTCTGCAGGCTCCGGATGTGGGGGGAGTGTGGCACTGTGCTGACCCTCAGGAAGCCTCTCCTCTTGGGGCTTCCCGGTCAGCACCAAGGGCCCCCCTGGGCTGAGAAGGCCCACTGCCTTGCCCTGTGGCCAGAGCTGCCACTGCCAGGCCTCGTGGTGGATGGAGTCCTCAGACTCCCTACCTGGAAGGGCTTTCAGGGAGGCCCTGGCTGAGGCCGGCCTGGCAGGCTGGCTTGGACTCGGATGCTGGGCCAAATGGCTTTTAAGGCGACTTCACGCTAGGCTGCTCAGGAAGGTGGCCCTCACCTGAGAGCAGCATGGGGTCCTTGTCGGCGGACTTGCGCACGTGGTCCGACTCCCCAGTCAGGGAGCTCTCATCCAGCTTGAGGTCATTGCCCTGGATGAGCACGCCGTCAGCAGGCAGCAGGTCTCCTAAGGGACGGCCGGCGGCTAGGACCAGAGGCCATGGGTGCATGCGGTCTTTCTCCCCACCACCTCCCCGCATTGCCGGGCAGGTCCCACCTGACCTATGGGCCACTCGGAAAAGGGACTTGGGAGACCTCTTCCTTCCACCTCTGCCTTTCTGGGGGGAACCACCCACACCTAAGCATGTCATCCAGCTCCCAGGGAATGGGGACATTTGCCTCCTTCATGGTGGGAATGGCCTGCTTGCTGGAGTGTTGCTGCGTCTGAAACTCCCCCTCTCTGCCCTGCCTCACGCTCCCCATGCGCCCCAGCTCCGGCCTCCTGCAGGCGAAGACACGCATGCCCCTGGGGACAGAGTCTGCACTGGGGGGGTCTCCTCTTGGCCACCCTCCCAGAAATGAGAGTGGGCTTCCTTGGCAGGGTGGGTGGAGATTGGCACACTCACCGTACTTGACCTGGGCAATGTCCCCTACCACCAGTGCGGCCACAGGGACCTGGAGGAGCTGCCCGTTCCGGATGACCGTGAACTTCTGCTCCTGTTCAATTCGGCTCTGTAGGCCTCGGAACTGCTTCTCCTTGCTCCAGTCGTTGAAGGCCGTGACCAGCACCACACAAATGACAGACAGCAGGATGGCAGCGCCTTCAATCCAGCCAGCCTCAGCCTCGCCCTCGTCTTCTGCGCCACCTGACACATTCCCGCAGGCTGTGCCGACAACCAAGGGAAGGAAAACATGGAGAAGTCATGTGAGCCCACGTGCCCTACCACTGGGATTGGGACATCCTGTGAGCCTCCCCTCGTCTCAGGTCTCAGTCCTCCCCCTCCTTCCAGCCAGGCGCCTGCCCTCACCTTCACTCTCCTCCCCGGGCGGTGCATAGAACGACAGGCCCAGGGAGACAATGGCGGCCACTTCCAGGATGATGAGGGTCACGTCCTGCAGGGCCTCCCACACCAACTGAAGGAAGGTCTTGGGCTGCTTGGGAGGGATGAAGTTCTGCCCATAGATCTGCCTGCGCTTCTCCAAGTCATTGGTGCTGTCCGCCAGGCCTGCGTGGCGCCCAAGAAGCACAGAAAGAGATAGTGGGGCCAGCTGGCCTTATGTGCCGGGCACCCTGCTCCTGGCCAGTGTCTGCCTCGCCCAGACTGTCAGCTCCAAGAGGGTGACACCTGCACAGGCCTGGTGCTGCGAGCCTTTCTGCAGAGCCTCGGGGGCGCGTGTGTACAGCGAGCGTGCGGCCCCTCCGGCTGCCGCCATGGGGAGCCCGAATCCCCTAGCACGAGGTAGGGCTACTAGTCGGGGAGGAAGGGCTGCCACCCTCCTCCTGACACACAGATGAGAAAACAGGCCCAGGAGGCTACCCGACTATGGCTGGGACCTGACCCGAGGCCACGCACCTCCCTCATCTACTCTCCCAATCTCTGCGCTGTCCTGTGCCACCTCCAGACTACCTCTGAGGAGGATTCGGAGGAAGGTGATGATAGCTGATGGGGGGCGCAGAGGGAACCAAACAGGAGAAAGAGCATCTAGCCGCCCCCTGCGGGACAGCATGTGTCGGGGGGACTTTCGTGGAGATGTGGGAGGGCCACCAGTCAAGGGAGGTGGGGTTGGCATGAGCCGGCTTCTGACCAGATGCCAAAGACTTGGCCAGGGCCCTCTCTGAAGGGGCTTTTCCTCCTGTCGGGACAGATCTCTCTGGCTCCTAACATCCGGGCTCCCCATCTTCTTCAGAGCACGTCTGCATGGTGGGAATGCGCATCCAGGACACGGATGCCCTGAGAACCGGACAGCCACTGGGCCTTGGCCACACTCCCATCCTCACGGGCAGCTGGTCCCAAAGACTGGCAGGGTCACACAGCATAACCTGCGGGGGCGGGAAGAGCCTGGAAGGCGGGCAGGGCCAGGGCCAAGGGCTACGGGAGTCTCCAGAAGTATGCAGCGGCCCATGGTGCCCATGGCTGCTGAGGAGGACAGAGGAGTGTCTGCTGAAGACAGGGAGTGGAGGCCTGCTTTCCAGAAGTTTCTCAGGGAAGGAGCAGAGGAGAGGGAACATGAGAGCTAGCAGGGGAATGCAAGTTCTTGGGTTCAGAGACCCAAAGAGGGGGACTGATGTGTCATGTGAGGAGAGGAGAAAGGCACAGGCTGGGCTAGGGGGAACCAGAAGTCACAGCAGTGAGGGCAGGAACCGAGAGAGCTCTTGCAGCCTTTTCTGGGTCTTGCTTGGCCTCACCGTGTCATATGACATCCCACTCTCAGCCATGCCTAGGGAACCAACCCCTCTGGGCTGGCATCTAAATGGTGACTTGAATTACACCCAGAGTCACTCTGGAAGATTTGGTGACCAGCTTCCTCAGGAGTCCCTAAATTAGCCTTGGCCTCTCAATCACAACCACCCCTCCTTACCCAATTCTGTCACCTGTTATCCCTGAGGACAAGGCGTGGGGAGGCTGGGGCTAATGGGATTGTCAATGGTTCATGCTGATGGCATGGCATCCCCAGGCCAAGGACACAGAGGGTCAAGGGTGGGGTGGCCAGTTCCAATGAGTCCCTCTGAGTCTTAAGCAGACAAGGCACCTCAATGCAAGGCCCAGGGGCTGAGAGGGCCTCGACCAAAACTCTGGAGCCCCAGGAGGCCACTCACTCACCCCAGGTGAGCCATCGTGGCTGGGAGGGCTGGAGCGGTAGGCTCCCTTCCTGGGGCTCTGCACCGAGGCTGGTGAGCCAGCCTGTGAGGGCCTGGTCTCGGAGGGGCTCAGAATTCACATACACAGGGGGGCTTAGCTTCTCAGTCTACCCTGGCCTGGACCAAGGCACCGTGTCTGAAGGCACTGGAAGCTTCCACGTATGACTGGCATCCAGGCCACGGGCCTCCAAGCCTGGACACCATTCCTTGGCCCTGTCCTCAGCCGTCAGGCTTCACCCTCTCCGTGCTGCCACAGCTTGCTGTGCTCCACTGCCTCTTTGTCTCCCAAGGGACCAGCCCCACACTGACCCCTAGTGGGCAGACAGCAGCTTGCAGCTCCCGGACCTGAGTAGGTGGCATTACTCCTGCCACCTGCTGTGGGGACAGGAGGGTCTGCAGGCTTGGGAGGGCATGCGAGACCCAGCCCCAGATGACTGAGGGCAAGAAAGTGCTAACTGTGGGGCTCCGGGGCGGCGCAGGGCAGGGCCCGGCCAAGGTGGGAAGACTGACAGGCAGAAGCCCTCGGCCGGCACAGCCTTGGCACGTCCTCCCCACCCAGAAGAGCTGCAGCTGTCCCTGCCTTTCTCCCCTGGCCTCATTGTGCCTGGGCCCAGCCGGCCGGCTCGGGTTTCTGCAGGGGCCAAAGGCCTCTTTTTGGAGGCCCACAGTCTCTCCAGCTTCCCCAGTTGGGCATCTGGGAGAAACTAGGGACCTCAGCTCCTGAGGTGGCAGGAGAGAGGGCTGTGGACCAGGAGCCCAACCGCGGGGCCTGTGGCTCGCTCCGGATTGGGGCCTGTCTCCTTGAACCGCAGGAACTGTGAAAGGTGGGGTTGATGCTAGGGACACACCCAAACTCTCAGTCTCCCAGACACCCAGGCCCTCTGCTGCCCTAGCCTGGAGCCCCTGGAGAGGGACAGAAGCCCACCGCAGCCTCTAGAGAGCCCATGGGTCCCCCTGGCACCATGCGAGTCTGTCTCCTGCGTGCCCTAGCCACGCGCCAGGAGCTCCCTCTCTGCCCCTCCGTCAGCCTCTGCCTTGGCCTTGACTCGCCCTTGCAGCTCCTCCCTCCTTGCCCTACACCAGGCAGCTGCCCTCAGCCCGGCCCTGTGGCCTCGGCCTTCCTGTGGGCTCGGGGCTCCTGACAGCTACTGCCGAAGCAGCACCCACCGTGGGGGGCGAAAGGCAGCTGCAGCCCCTCTGCTTCCAAGCGAGTGCCTGCGCAGCAGCCTGAGGGCGGCCCGGGTCCAGGGTGTGGGGGCGGGGGGGCCGGCTGGCCTGGACACAGATGGGCAGCCTGCCCAGAGCAGAAGCCAGATGCCATCGGAATTGGATTAGGACCATATCGTGTTGGATCCCAGCTAATCCGCCTCCTCCTTTCCATGACCGCCTGTGGAGACCAGGCCGGCGAAGGGGTGGGGGCCAGGTCCCCCTGGCAAGTCCACCACTAGGCTCGGCCTAAGACCCAGGTTTCCTGGCCAACAGGAGGAGAATTCAGGATGGCTTCTAGAATCCTCTTGGATCTCTCCACGAAGGCTGGGCGGAATGGACTGATGTGAAGACAAAGTCCCCCTCCTGCAATGCCCCACACACCTCCTTGGCCTCCTGTCCTCTGTAAAGCACCTACATGGGGGTGCCTGCCTGCCTCCTCGGCACCCCCAAGTGTGCCCACCTTGCCAGGGGGTTGGCGCAGGGCCTGGAGTACATTGTGTCTGAGCAGCAGTGAGGGGCAGGTGGGTATGGGGGAACTCTGGGGCCTGTTGAGGACCCCATGCCTGCCTCAGGCTCGTGGTTGGGCTGAGGGCATATGGGGAGCCAGAGTCACCTGCTCTTGGCACCCAGACAGCTCGAGCTTGAGGACCTTGAGGGCCGCCACGGTTGGAGAGAGGAGGGGCTGGTGCTCGTGCCACTCATTCTTCAGGCAGCAGCCCCAGGCCTGGTGGCTCCCTACACTGCGGCCACAGGCGCCCAGGTGCTCAGGAGCCAGTCAGGGACTGGGCCACCCACCTGTGCACCTGTCCTTCTCCATGCCCACCCCCTCCACAGGCCCGAGCGAGCTCCCGCTCTGTGGCAGCATCGGGCAGGTTCCCAAGGGCCTTGACATTTTAAATATTTAACAAGGCCTGACAGACGAGGGAAGGGCTGCCAGCTGAAGCCCATCTGCTTCCTTTGATCTGGGAGAGGCCAGAGCCCTTGTGGCTAAATGGCCCTCCACCCTAGCCTCCTCTGAGCCCAAGTCCTGGGGCGGGGCGGGGCGGGCAAGGAGGAAGGAAGGAAAGAGATCCTCTGGCCCAGTGCCCAGCCATCTGCCTTGACAGCACACTGCACCCGGATGGCGCGTGGCGGGCGAGGCAGGGTGTCCGTGGGCACGTTAGCTCCACAGCACAAAGCAAGGGAGACCCAGGCAGACCCCGGGAAGGCCACTCCATCTCGGGTTCCTGGTCTGGACCACGGGCCACCCCCTCCCTCTCCACTCCTCCCTCCGGCCTACGCGCCACTCGCGGACAGATGGCTGAGGCCAGAGCATCCAGTCTCCAAGTGGGGCGGGAGGCTGGAGGTGCTGGGGGCCGTGCCCGGGCAGGAGCAGAGAAGATGGGTGGGCCAAGGAGCCACTGAGATCAGCTGCTGATCAAATCAACTCTCACTGGCCGGGGAGCAGGCCTGGCAATGTGCTGGGACAACCCCGGCAGCCTTGCCAGGTGAGCGCCAGCTGGGTCAGAGGACACTCCAGCTCCTGGACTCTGTGGCTGGGCCCAGCTCCCCGGTGGTCTTTGCCTCACAGCAGACCCCAGCAACCAGGGGAGAGGCAGGACCAAAAATGGCAGTCAGGCCTCCACCCCAGATCCTTCTAGAGGGTGCTCACTGGGTTTCCTAGAGGCCCACTGTAGCAGTGACACCTATACTGCCTCAGGCTTGCCCCTCTGATGAGCACTCTGGGGCCTCCCCCAATGCCCCAGCTTTGTCCCAGATGGGCCCGTGCCAGGGAGAGGCCCCCTGCAACCCTGCACCCCTTCCTCTCTTCTGAACCCCCAACTGGACACAGGGCTGAGCGTACAGGGAACCCCCAAACATGCAGACCGGGGCTGTGTCTTCCTCCTCCATCAACAGGAGGCTGTCTGCCCCGCCCCATTCCTCAGAAGCCATTCTGGGGTTGCAGTTTGGGGCCCACCCTGCCTGCGTGCGCCTGGCGGAGTTCCCATCTCCTCCCTCCCCCTCTTTCGCTCTGTAGAGAACAGCTGCCTGTCCAGGACAACAGCCTCCTCACTTGCACGAAGCATCCCCCACTCACGGGAAGTGGCCGGGAGGAGGGGCGCGGGCAGGGGTCATGGGGCCTCCTCTCCACAGAGCCCTCTAGGGACCTGCTGCAGTGGCCACAGAGCCCTGGAGCCCATCCTGCCTCGGCAGTAAGGATCTCATTGAGGACACCCCAAAGGCTGGGAGGAGCGCCGGTGGCGCAGGGAGGGCCTTACCCTCCGTGGGTGAGGTCTTCAGCCGCCTGCAGAGCCCGTCAACATCCCCGTAGGCTTCCTGGATCTTCTGCAGCGCCTCGGCCCCTCGCAGCTCCATGAGGGAGCGCAGCTCAGCCAGCGTGCACCCAAAGCCACCCGCATGGGGGGCCTCCCGCTGCTGCTGGGGCTTGGGGTGGAACTCGATGGAACTGTTGGCCATGTCGCCCATCCTGCCTGTCGGGCCTTCTCACAGGTGCAGCCTCAGCTCGGCCGCAGCTAGGGACAGGCAGCCACCTGCGGTTCCAGTGCCTGGGGAAGGTGCGGTGGTGGTGGGGAAGCAGCTAAGTGTGGACACCTAGGGAGAAGGAGGCGACAAAACTGAGGGCTAATCTTCCAGAACATTCTCTGCAAATCTTTGCTCAGTCTGAGCCATGACTCATCGAGTGCAAAATTTACCTCACAGGCTGGGCCAGTGGCTCTCGTGCCCTGCCAGGCTCCACAGTGAGCACCCAGAGCTGGCAAGGCTTGCCCGGGTGGGGAAGGAGCAAGTGTCGGTGCCTCCTGTTGGGACCCTGCTGCCACCAGCACTGGCCGGCTGGGATATGGAGGCTCTCAGGGCCCCCAGATCCATTTGGGAACCCACGCTGAAGGGAAGGTGGCATGCTGGGAGTGATCAGTGGCCGGCTGTGCCCGGTATGGTTGGATTCTCCTGCGAACGCCCATGCCCGCCACCAGCTCCTCACTTGTGTGCCCTGTCTTACTCCCTGCTCTTGCCTGATTAGGACTCGCCCTGTGCCGCTGACATGCTATAAGTCCCTGCCAGTCTTCTGGGATGGCCTCAGTGGCTCAGAGTTTCAGGCTGGGGCTGCACGGGGCTCCAAGAAGCGGCCGAGCCATGGGCAGGGCCAGCTGGGCTCCAGGCCAAGGCTTAGCATGCCGGGGGTTTCTGCGGCCCTGAGGGTACCTGGGGGGCCAGGGCCAAGGGAAGAGAAGGCCCAGAGGGAGGGGGAAAGGGAGGGGGAGAGAGGGAAAAGAGGGAGGGGGAGAGGGATGGAGGGAGAGAGGAGGGAAGGAGAAGTGGGATGGAGGGAGGGAGGGAGAGAGGGAGGGAGAGGAAGGGGGCTGAGGGAATGAAAGGGGAGGGATGAGGGGACAGCACACAGGAGAAAGCCAAAAGCAACCACAGGTCACTGGCAACTCTGCCCCACAGCACGGTGTCCTCCCCCCCCTTCTTCCCTCCAGATGACAAAGTAAGGAGCTAAGTTCTCCCCACACTGGAAGTAACCATCCCACTGCCCAGGCCACACCACCTCCCCCCTCTGCAGAGCATCGCAACGTTGTCGTACCTCTCACTGTCCCCCTCATCATGCCAACATCCCTCACCTCACCCGAGGAGCCACTGGTGCCCAGGCTGCTCTTCCTGCAGCCTTTGCAGGCCTGGCGGGGCCCACGGGGCCAGCTGGGCCTGTGTCCTTCCTTGCCTGGGCCACAGCCCTCCCCAGCTGCTCTCCCCACAGCTCCTTCCTGGCCTGCGCATAAGTGGGCGCATCCCCCAAGGCCACGTGCTAAGCTCCCCACGTCCTTGTCGAACTGAACTAGTCTCACTGCACATGGCCTTGGACCTCGCATCAGCACAGAGTGGCTCAGTTGGGCCCGACTCCTCGCCTTTGGTGAAGCTCCCGGCTCAGAAGGAGCCTCTGGGAAATAGAACTTGGCCACCCATCCAGGTCTCTGATCTAGAACTCTCCGTGGAAACAAATAACCCAGAGCTGGGTTAGAAAGGTAGAAAAGCCCTTGGGTAGCCAAAACAGACACGGCCAAATCCATGGCCTCTGCTGTCAAGAGTGCCCCACGCCTCTCACTCTGAGCCCAGCGGGCTGGATCCTACAAGCCCCCAGTGGGTGCTAGGAGCAAAGAGTGCCACCCGAGACCAGAGTCTTTGGCAAACAATGGTCCATTCCCCACATGTGCCCCTGCAGAGGCCTCACCTGTCAAGAAAAGGTGTGCACACCTATGGCAGTCCCTGCCCATGAGGTCTGGGGGCAGAGAAGGCGCTTCAGAAAATGTCCATCCAAAGTGATGCATGTTTTAAAAGTTTGGGCACCTAAGTGTTAATTAACTCTCCACACGGAGCAGCCTTCACTTCTGGAAGATGTGGGAACAAAATGGCGGACACGTGAATGCGCGATGCTGTCCCCCTGCCATGCATCTCTCCCTGCCTGTTCCTCCGTTGGCCACCTGACAAATATTGAACGAGCTTTTCCTATGTGCCTGGAGCTGGCCTTGTGTGCTGGGACAGGGCCTCAGCAAGACTGACTAGATCCCTCTCTCTGGAAGGAGTGAGGGCAGGGAGTGGGGGCTGGTGAGGGGCAGAAGCCTGGAAAGGATGGAGGGGCTGTGGCTCTCCTGGCTTGACCGAGCAGGCAGGGCAAGCTCCTTCAGCGGGTGTCATGTGCATATGGCCCAGCCACCCTGGTGGCAGTGGCGTGAATTGCTCTCCCTTTCTCCAGTGCAGGAAACTGAAGCTTGGCCACGGAAGTGTCAGAGACAAGAGAACAGCTGGGTCCCCTACCTCTGACCGCACAATGCAACAATGGCAGCTTTTAACTGCCACCTGCACTTCTCATCCTCTCCAGACAGCCTCACCCCCTCACCCCAGGACCTTTGCTTAGGACGGTGTCCCTGCCGGGAGCGCCTTCCCTCTCCTTCCTCCAGCCCTGAGCTCCAGCTGCTCTGTGCCATAGCAACTCACTGCAACTGTCAGGTTCAGGCTCTGTCCCCCAGCCACCCTGCTTACTGGCTACTGGAGGGGACGGAGTTTGGCTTGTCTGTGTAGACACTGGCTTTAGCCACCCTCAGGGTCACCAACAGGCACAAAACCCCCTGGCAGTTGGCTTCCCAGGCCCCAGGCAGGCATGGGCTATGCACGAGGGGCACCATCCAGTGAAAGCATGAGCAGGGTCCCCAGGCTCTGATGCCCTCGTAGGCAGGCAGGCCTCTGCGCAGAGCACCTGCACGTCCTCCACCGAGCCACCTAGGGCCCTTCCAGTTGAATGATCTCATTGCTTTTTGGCCTCTGCACCCACTTGGAGCAGAAGCCGAGGTTGTGTGGTGTCCCACCCATTTGGCACCAGTGGGCTTCAAAGGATGACAGAGTGAACGGCCCATTGGGTGGGCTCTTAGATGGTGCACGGCCCTGATAGAAATGCCTGTTCCTTAGAGCAGGGATGCCCTGAGGCTGGTGGCAAGATCACTGAGGCCTGGTGGCCCCTGGCTGACGCTGAGTAGACCACAGTGGCTCATGGTATGGCTACTGGGTGGGTAACAAGGCCTGGGCTTCTGATGCTGCCTAGCTGTGTCCCCTCCCTGCAGCCAGTCTCCTCCTGCCCCTCTGCCACTGCCCTGGGGTCAGGTTCCTGCCCCTCGGTGCTGGTGTTGCTGGCCCCCTCCTCCTCAGGATCCTTCATCCCCCACCAAGTCAGCCCCACGTCCTGTCTATCACCTGATAGGCCCCCCAGCCGGGCACCTGGTCACCACCCTGCTGCTGTAGAAGGCTCTTTCCACAGTCTGCTGCCGTTTCAACCCCCATCCCCACGGAGCTAAGGCCAGACTGCTTCCCGGCGCCTTCTGGCTCTGCTCCTGCCCTCACCTGCCCCAACCACACATGCTGCCAGCTTGAGCCCTGACCGCACACCCTTCTGTCCCTGCTCCACCTGCCGACCTCCCACGAATCCTTAGTCGCAATTCAAGTGGAACATTCTCCAGAAAGTCTCTGCCTGTTCCCCAGCCAAGATTGATTGCTGCTGGGTCTATAATCCCACAACCCGCTCCTACTCCACTCTGCTGGGCACTGCAGTGACCTGGGAGCACGCCTTTCCACTTGCTGGGTCCTAAGCCGACACATGTAGTTCCCGACCGTGTGGGCAGCCCTGGATGGAGACGGGGCCTGGCTCACGGAGGAGGAGCTCAGGAGCCGTGGTGGTGGAATTAGCCTCCTGGAGGGCAGGGCGGGCTGGGGCGCTCCTGCTAACCTTCCTCATCTTCATGAATGCAACAGGCCACAGGGCAGACAGGAGCCATCAGTTAAAGCAAGGCTCATTTTGAGTGCCTGTTGGCTGCTGGGTTCTCTATAAGCCTGGGCAATGGCCCCTCAGTCTGAATAGGACAGCAGCCATCAATGAAATGGCCAAGAACAGAACGGAGCTTCCGGCCTGGGCTGGCTGCCGAGAACGGTCTGTAGGCACCAAAGGGAACACACCATTTCTGTGCTCTTTCATTTTTCAGACTTTAATTGGCTTAATTGAATTGAGAACCTCCACAGAGGGGGACTCGGACCTTCTGGCATTTACTCCCTCCTGGCACAAACTGGCCAGCATCATGGGGTGGAGAGAAGAGAGACCTGTGTTGGCTTCCCTGGCCCACCTCACCCTTGCTATGTCACTGCCAACAGGTTGCTACCTCAGAGGGTGGCTGGAGCATTGAAGGGGATGGCCTAAGTCCAGGCCCAACACCCAACCACCTCTGGACCCTTCCCTCCAGTGGGACACAGACACCCTCCCCGCCCTACAGGCCCAAACAGAGCACCTGCCCCTCCAGCAATTCAACCCCCCTGAGCAGAAACCCAGGGCTCCCCTTTCCCCTGTACTGTCCCTCCCTGGACACCTCTAATTGGCACCCCAACTTCATCTCCCCTGGACTCCCCCCAGGCCCTGGGCAGCCCACCACCCTCCAGGAAGCTGGGAACTTCCTGAATGGAGGGGCACCTCTGTTCCCAGGCTCCCCTCTGTCAGGACCCCACTCTAGATACTGAGTTTTGAGCCATCACCTGCAACATCTGCCAACATCTGTGTACCAGTCCTTGACAGACAAGCTTCCCTCACAGCACCCTCAAAAATACCCTATGGGGCCAGGAGAACTCTCCCCATTTTACATAGGGGGAAACTGAGGCTCAGGAAGGCTCCTGCTCTTGCCTGGTCCCTGGCCCTGCCTTCCATGGGGCCCGAGGTGAGTCTCAGCCACCTGTGCTGAGGCACTCCACCGAGCCATCTGCTCCATGTGGGGCAGCCTAGCCTTGCCTTTACAGAGAGGACAACAGATGGGGGATAAAATCCCCCACCGTCCTCCAAGTCAGAGCTTGAGAGCACATTAGAATTCACCCCGGTGCTGCCCCAGCCCAGCAGCGGCCCAGTTGCTGGGGTTCGTGTGGGCACGTGTCCTCATGCTGATGACGGGACATGTGCTGCCAGGTACTGCTGCCTCCTCTGCCTCCCATGCCAGAGCCAGGCCCAGGACACCACGGCCCCGAGGAGAGAAGGAAGCAGAACCCAGGGTCAGAGGGCAAGAGACGGAAGCCCA